CCCCCCCCCCCCCCCCCCCCCGCACAATGGTCTAACGACTACGGCATGCACGACTATGAGTACACCCCCCCCCCGTACCGTGATCCCTACGTCTCTTGTGGCGACACGCGAACAACATCAACAACCGCAATAGGGTGCGGCGCTTCAGGAGGCTAGAGCGGGCAAGAAACGTCAGCTTCAGGATGACAGCAACACCGGTCGTTCCAGTACCGGAGACGAAGAGACCGAGGACGGCGGTGGCAGAGGCGGCGGCGGCGGCGGGGACGACGGCGAAGCATCCCCTGGTGACGACCAGGACGAGCAACAGCAAGAACCCGTGGTAGACGCTCTCCGAGCCAGCGCGGGGGAGGGGAAAGAGTCTGCTTTTTTCCAGGACTCCGGCGCTGTTCCCACGAAGCTGGAGCAGGAAGTGCAAGAGGTGTGTGTTCTGGGGGCTGACACTGACTGACTGCGCGCTGGACCCGATAAATTGCCGGTGCCCGGTATAGCGCCCGTCAAATCTCGGGGCGCGGGTGTCCGCTCCTGTACTAAAACCTATATTTTTCCCTGTTCTGAACAGCGCCGGTGTCCGTTGTAGTGCCGGTCAAACCTGTGGGCACATACCGGAACTGCATCGAGCCCTTGACTGAAACGTTTTTTTTTGTTTAGACATTTACGTGCAGTGTTTTGGTGGCAAAAAGCCGTCGTGGGGTGCAGGGTTTTGACGACGAGTATAGCGCCCGTTTATCCCCGATGGCAGGATGATGATTCTGAATATCGTGGCTCGACTGCTGTGGACAGTCTCGGTTGGAACACGGTCGACTGGCTCGCTGGTGTCATTCCTGTTGCCGCTGTGTTTAACGCCGACCGTCGAGAATGGGACACCTTGTCACCTCTTTGGGGCAGCGGGTATCATCCAGACTCATGAAGAAACATTTTTCCAGACTCGTGTACCAGTACACCTTTTTCGAGGCTCAGGTGGTTGACTGACTTTGTGTCCTGGCACCCATCCAGTGATCATCAGGCACGTTGCGGCTTGATTTTGCGGTGGCGCACGTTGGGTGCGGGCGACCACCACTAGACACAGTCCCCCCCCCCCTGCCTTACGCCTTGCAACTTTGTTATATCTCAAGTCAATGCCTTCCTCTTCAACTCTTCTCTTTCCCGCCCACCCGCCCCTTCAATCTATCCAAACCAATCGACGATCGATCGACATGTGCCCGTTTTCTTGCGAAAGTTGGAGGTGCTCTGCCGCGTGGTGTACGTGGACTCGGAGGGGCTGTCGGACGGCACGTCCGTGAAGAACACGGCGGTGACCCTGGCGCCCAAGATGCTCATCGTCACGGGGGGGTCGAGGAGGGCGAAGGCGGAGCTCGTGTCTTACGTCCGGCACGCGGTGGAACCCGCAGCGGCGGGGAGAAGAGCACGGGGGGGAGGGAGGGGCGGGGGCGGGGGCAGAGATAGCGGGGGCAGCGAAGACGACGGCGAGGAGGAGGAGGAGGACGTCGCCTGTCGTTTTGTGGTGGTGAACAAGGCCATGGAGCCGGTGCCGGTCGCGCTGGACTCCGGAGCGTTCGACGTCCTCTTGCACGACTCGCTGCACACGCATCTCAAGTGGAAGCAGGTGCGTTTTGTCCGTCTGCTGTGCCTGGCCTGTCTCGTGTGCATGTTTTTTTCTTTTTCTCGTGTGAGGTACTGTAGCGAACAACGCCGCCTCGTGACTGACTGCTTTTTGTCACGTTTTGATGAGGCATCTCGACTCGATGCATGGCAGCTGGGAATGAGTGGGAGCGATCTTAATTCTTGCACCGGATTCGGATCCGGGTCCTGCCGGGTGTGCAAGACAAGACAAGGACGCTTTCCTTGCTAACAGTTCTTTTGAACAAGGACGGATACAGCAGTTTGTTTGCTCGAGGTACACGTCTCTCGGAAAATGGAAGAATAGAAGCTTGCCACCAATTTTCTCTTTGGCACCCTTTGCGCAACATGCACCGTTTCATCTCGTCGAGAGCATCTCGTCGAGAGCAAGGCGGGATTCAGGGAAAAGAACTGGATGGCATTGTTTTGCTACTTACCGCAAGCCGGAAGAAGGCCTGGATGAAACTGTTTTGCTGCTTCCCGCAAGCCGGTGACACGTGCCATCCAAAAGCGCGAAGCCCCTCGTGCACCCTCCTCTACCTGTCCGCCCCCTCATTCTATTGCGGGTTTCATGACCGTCAATACTGCTGTCGCATCATCGGACACGCGGCAGATGACAAACTATCACCTCGTCGTCTCCGCCCCGTTCTTGTTCGTGTTTCGTCTGTACATGGAGAAAGAAGAAATGCGTGAACATTGGCGATCCCACATAGGCACCGCTACCGCCACCGCCTCCGCCACCGTACGAAAGACCCAACACAGGTCAAGAATGATGTAGCGACCCACCCTCCTTTGTCTTGCTTGCTGATCCGCGCGTGTGGCAGCTGGATAACTACGGGGTTGCGCACGTGGAGTGCCGAGTCGACCCCCGGGGCGATGTGCCGCTGCTCTGCGCGAAGCCGCGGGCGGAGAGGGTGGGGCACCCGGCCATGTTCCTGAGCGTGGGGAAGGTGAACGTCACGCCACAAATCCTACAGGTGAATTGGCTCGAGACGATTTCACAGAGTTTTATGTCTCACCACCGCTGTTTAGGTTGAAGTGGCCAATTCCTTTGCCTCTCGGTCAGCAGCGCTGATCGAGTGGTGTGAAGGGTTAGCCCCTTTTGTCGTAACGTCGTGGTGACCGACCACTTGGTTGTCGACCTTCGAACACCGAGCAACCGTGGAAGACCGAGCGAGACGGCTTCTGTACGTGGGCGCACTTCTACTGTTCCGCAGCTCATCTGAACTCTCCTCTCTTCTCCTCGTCACGCGCTCACGCATGCGTTTCTCGTCGGCGGGTTGCGGGAAGTGTCGTTTTCGCATCCTGGTGTTGTCCGGTTTTCGCGTTTCTGCCGCCTACGGGAAAAATGGGTTTTTCTTATTGACGCCGGGATCTTGAGACTGGTCAGCCGGTTAGCGCAGTCGATGCTATCTAAAGAACAAACATGGGAAGATGCGCTGCGGGCGAGTGCGCTTGTTCCATGGGTTGGTGTTTGATTTGCTTGTTTTGAAATGTTGACTTGACTTGACCGCTCTTGTATGGCCTGCCCTGTTGGTCGCCATCACTTTTGCCGCCTTGTTTCAACAACTACACAAGCTACCGACACCACGCAACCGACGATACACAACAAGGTTAACAATGACGAAATCACCTGAAACACACGGCAGGCTTTCAAGGAAGCCAAGGTCAGCTTCGAGTTCGTTGCCGGCAAGGTGCTGTTAGAAGGAGGCGTCACGGTCAGTCAGGGGAAGGGGGGAAAGATAGAGCTGGAGGGTCCCCTGTGCGACTCGTACTTCAGAGTCCGCGAAATCATTTACGGAGAGTACATAGTGGTATAGCACGGAGGAGGGGCTCGTATTGGTACACTGGAGAGCTGTGTTTTCTCGTGCTGGTCTACGATGGGTGAGGACTATGCCTGGCGTCGCATCAGCTGGAGGTCACGTCAAGGCAGCGTTGTGATCCTGTGGGAATCGACTAGGAGTTGTGGACCGTGTCGTGGGGTGTACTGCTGTACCTCAAGGAAGCGGAGGACTTGGATGGAAAGACGCACCCCTTGCCTACCCAGCATTAGATCCTATGCGCGCATCTGCTGAAGTTGCCCCGCCGCCCAAACGGGGAATTTGAGGGGGGGGGGGGGGGAACGATCTGTCTATCGAAGGGCGATGAATGGATTTTGTCCCCATTTCAATGGTCTTTAGGTTGTTGTGTGTTTCCAGGTGGGCCGTAGTGCCGGTGTTCCACAACTAGCTGCGGTAGTCTAGGCGATAACTTCGCGGTATGGCCGTAGTCTTTCTTGTGGTGTTTTATCTGCAAGTAAGATGTATCAGCAGTGGGCAGTCTCGCAGTGCGTGTTTTCTTGTACGCATAGACCAGAGGATGTTTGTGGTGCTCGGTTGGGCGTGCTAAGAACAATGACCGCGGCTGAGCCAACCCCCCCCTCGTGCCCGTAAAGATCATGTTGCTGGTCTCGTCCGTCTCCGTATGGTGGGTTATGTACGGCACGTGCCGAGCCTGTCCCTACCACTATATGTATGCACAGCGATTGGATGTCAGCAGCAGGCAGCGCGTGTACACCGCCCACAACACGAAGCAAGATTGATTCCCGGAGAAATGCGTCTTCTCTGGGGCGCTTTCGCCGCCATCTCCCCGTCTCCGAGAGTCACATGAATAGTCACGGTATTCTGTGAATCTTTCCTGGCAAATGTCTTCGGACGGTAGAACATTGTTCATGTAGTCCGACGATCTTCGCTGGTCGCATGCGCATCATTACCTCTAGGAAGATACTTGTATCCTGGTTTCCACACTCTCTGCGAATGCTTTCCGCACTACCCACCTCTGTGCGTGCTTGGTTGAGTCGCCGGATTGGTTCATAGAAGAAGGTGGCCGGTTATTGTCTTTGTCTACAAATCCACGTTGCGTTTACTAGGAAGGCAAGAGGACTGGTGTCGGACATTAGGTCTATGTACCACACAGACAGGCAACGAGCTGACAGCTCTGTGTGATGTTTTTCGGAGAACAAACTTGCGAATCGTACAAACACGAGCGAGCGCGCGACCGTTATACCTGTTGCAGTTAGCGACCGTCTTACCTGTAGCAGTTATTTGGTTCCTCCCCCGGTGCCAATGTCACCTTTGGTCGTTGGACGCCGAAGGTGACATGGCGAAACACAGGTAACATCGCCCACAAGGGGAAAAAAATACACACAAGTTCAAACGAACACGTGACCCCACAACAAACGCTTGTCACACGATTTTTTAAACATTGACATTTGAGTTATATCTTCTCTCAGAAGGCATGTACTGGACTTGGACTATAGAGTAGAGTACCGAGCACGCGGCCTCAAGGACTGCCCCCGCCTGTTATGTCGAGCTCCAAGTAAGACACAGAAAACTGTTCGCGAAATGCGGTAGCTGGAAATCGACAGTGGACAGTGGCACAGCGGCGGGTTTCTTCTGTGGGCTGTCGCGGCCAGCAGTAGCGCGTAGAGACGGAGAACAGAGCGCACAGCCTGACAGCGCAAAGCGCAAAACGCCGAGCGGTGAGTTCGGCAAGCGAACCAAGCAGTTCTGCAAGTGAACCAGCGGTACAAGGTACACGCAGAGAGAACCCTTTGAAAACCAATCCCCCCCGGCGCACCAAATATATCTGCGGAGTCCCTATGGGTAGCAGTACAGCAGTGGCAGTTCGCACCAGTGATCATGATCAGTGACTTCCTGCCGCTGTAGAGACGATGAGCGATGGACGTTCACGAGACATCCAATCTTGGGATGAAATATTTGAGAGCGAAACAGGTCTAGAAGAGGAGTCGATCGGCTCTTGGAAATCATCACCTCCATATCCTTACCCTGCTAGCAGCAGCGGCGGTGCCGGTGGTGGGAGATCCCGGATTGGTTTACTGGAACCTTCCGCTAACGAGGTACGTCGTCAGACAACCACTACTCGGCGTCATCCAGCCCGAGACTTGGAGCAGGAAGACGGCGATTGGTATGATCATCAACAAGACCGTCACCATGTGCCTCGCGCCAACAGGTCGGGGTTACAGGTATGATGAGAGTTTTTGAGTTTTGAATGCTGGGCATTTCCCGCTACAGGAGAGGTGTCGATCACAGCAGTGCAGATCGCGAACATGAGCTGAAGAAACCTGTTACTTTGGTTTCGTCCCGACGCGATGATCGTTTCCTCCTTCACAGGATTCTTCTCGTGCTCATGACCATCGCCAGCCTCGACAGGAGTATCACGAACGTTCCCCACCTGATGGGATTGAAGGGAGGCAGCAGCTGCAGCTAGCACAGCCTACGCGCGGCCAGGAGTATCGGCCACCATTCCAACCGCAGCACCGAAATCGCGGAGTACAAGATCATGCCAGTGAGGAAACAAGCGCTAAGATGGAGCGCAGAGACCACCCGCCTCCTTCGGTAGTTCGACCCCAAGGGTCAGCCCCGCCGACTGATCCGCGTCGAAGGCGGCCCCGTCCACAACCTCGAAAGGCTGACGTGTCTCCAACTGCGAGCAGTGCCAGCGGGAGCAGCGCTACGGGGGCTTTTGCTCCCACTGCTGCTGCTGCTTCTCCTCCAGCGGGGCGCTCGTCTCCGCAAGAAGTAGCCGTAAATGGCACTCGGCGTTCGGCATTTCCGCGTGGCATTGACTACAGCGGCGTTGGGGCTCAAGTGGGAACACTGGCTGAGGAAGGGAGAGAAAGAGGAGACGGGAAACGCTGGGCCGCTGGTTGCGATGGCGCGCCAAAGGACTCATTCTCGGGCAAGGAGGAGGAGGAGGAAGAGGAGGAGGAGGAGGGGCATCTTGCTTATGGTTCTGGGAATAACCACGAAGAGGGGAGCAGAGCATACGCCGCTGCTGAGCATGAACCGGAGTTTCGAGGGGTCAAAGCAGAACCCAGGCCCGCCGATGCTCGATTCGCTCGTCGATCTTCGGCGGGGGGCGGCGGTAGCGAACGTGACGACCGCAGTAGCAGCAGCAACAGCATCGAAGGCAGGGGCCGGATGAGACCGCCCGGGGAAGGCGTCCACGAAGAGGTGCAGCGTCACCAAAGAAGGGACGGTGTGGATGGCGATGAAAACCGCAGGCTAAGAGAGGGGCGGAACCTTGGCGGTGATCAACAGCCCTCCCGTCTTGCCGTTACGATGGAGAGCGTGACTTTGGGCGGCAGACGTGCACCGCCACCCCCTCGTGGGCCCCACGAGGGTAGGGGTGTACACGTGCGTTTGCCTCTTCAGGGTCGGCCAGCTCCCCCCGCGCACCACAGCGCGTTGCTCCCGCCCAGAGGAGCTATGCCGCAAGACCACAACCCTCATTGGAGGCAGCAGCAACAGCAGTTCCCCCCGGGGCGAGGACCGCCGCCGCCCCAAGCCAACATCGGCGCCGTGCCTCAAGGCCGTTATGCTCACGGCTCTGCGTCACCTCCGCCACGGTGGCCAATCAATCAGCACGCGGGAGCAAGGCCATTCCACGAGGGTGGCGTCGGCAACGCTAGCAAAGGCGGCGGATTTCATCATCATCATCAGCAGCAGCAGCAGCCGCCGCATCAGCAGCAGCAGCAGCAACAGCAAGCTCGTCTACCCATCAATCACCCTCGTGCGCCTCTGGCACCTCCGGGTCCTTCGAACGGCGGGGGGCAGGGGCGCCGTTCTGCCTATGCCATGGCCATGCACGACAAGAGGTTCATGGGGGCTTCGGGTAACCAAGGGCCCGGCGGGGCGGGAGGAGAGCCACAACAACGCCTGTCCGTCGGCGGTGGCGGCGGCGGTTTTGAGCTGCCGCCTGGCCGTCCCCCGGTTATGGCCCCGCGCGGCGATCCCCGCCCTCCCCTTGTCCGGCATGGATTCCAAGGACGGGGACCACCCGCCCGTGGGCCTCCGGGGAACGGCGCTTTCGGGGGCATCGGCGGCGGCGTTGGCCACATCGGGAGGCTGGGTGTTGCGCCGCCGCAAGGACGGGGACCACCCCCCCGTGGACCTCCGGGGAATGGTGCTTTCGGGGGCCTCGGCGGCGGTGTCCGCGGCGGTGGTGTTGGCAATATCGGGGGGTCGGGTGCTTCGCAGCCGTGGGTTTCCTTGGGAGGAAGCAACGAGGAAGATGGGGAAGGGTTCCCGCTGGTCCACACCAGTCCGGAATGGACGCCGGCGTGGGTGATGAAACCGGACCATCGTAGCGGCACCGTCCAAGGTGCGTACGAGGGCAACGCTGGTGGTGGTGATGGTGAGGCTGGTACCAGCGTTGATTGCGGAGAGGAGGGGGTGGGTGGGGATGAGCGTGTTCAGCGGGAAGGCGCGATGGGCAAGAGCAACGGGAGTTCTACAGCAGCAGGGGCGGAGGGACGAGATAAGGGCGACAGTCCGAGACTTTCCATCGAGTCTGCTGTCCGTGATAAGGAGGAGGAGGAAGCTGGTAGCTTGGCAGCCGCAGCAGTTGGTAAAGGCGGCAAAGCCGCCACTGATGGAGGAGGTGCCACTGCTACTTCTTCTGGTAGTTCTTCGGTGACACTCCCGCCCCCCGGCGAGCAGCGGTTGGAACCTACCCCTCTCTCCAAACTGACGTGGAGTGTCGGAGACTTGATGAACAGTTTCCCTGGGTGAGAAAAGTCGAGTGATTCTTTTGAGACCAGGCGCGCACACGTGAAATTCGCGTCGAAGGGAGTCATCGTCCCCTATGTAGGTGCCTATGGCCGATCACCATCTGAAATTTATCCTTGGCACATGCATGACAAGGTTTGTGGGCGGTTTTGACCGGTTGACCGGTAGTTCTTATGCTTGGACAACTCAGTAAGTGTTCAACAAGGTGAGGGCCTGCTTGCATGTAGAGCAGCAACGTCTTCCGTCGACGTGCCACACCTTTCTCTGCCCGCCTGTCCCCCCCGTCGCCTCTTCCAGGCTCGCCATCCCCGACAGCTTGACTCACGCGATCGCTTCGTGGGCCGCGCTGGACACGAGGGCTATAGGGGTGAGTCGTTTTTCCCAAGGTGGCTCTACTAAATACGGTGTAGCCCTACGTACGTGTCCACGGCGCACAGGATCGCATGCCCTTGACCTGTCGATGGCGAGAAGCTGAAGCCCCCCTCCTTGGCCGTCAATGAGAACAAGCTGGACCCCGCCCTCTTTGTAGGAACCCACACGGCGCGTTTATAACCAGGAATGAGGGATGAGTGGAATCTTGCGTTGCGGCATAGTTTTCTGCCGTGAGGGCATGGGAGACTCCGTCGGGTAATGTTCAAGGTTGCTCTGCTTCTCGTGCCCCCCTCCTGTTTCGTCTGTTGCTTGGAGCACAGGTGATTCCTATGCTCTGCCAGCCGTTGACAGACGCTAGGGCAGCAGCGGGAGAGGAGAGCGTGAGCCGTGGCCCGCATGCCTCCGGGGGGAAGGGGAAGGGGAAGGGGAAGGGGAAGGGGAAGGGAAAGGGCAAGCGAAAGCGGAACGAGAGACGACAAGCGCCGGCGGAGGGAGAGGGGGCGGCTTCGGAGGGTCCTGTTCGGGTGTGGGAAGCCAGGCAAGCTCTTTTCCGGACAGTGAAGGGCCTCGTCGCACGACGACACATGACACAGCATCTTTGACTAGCTGTTGTGTTAAACGAGAAGTGTCAATGCCGGCCGACGCGTGCATGTGCGTTTGCCGAGTTTGTGTGAGGGACATCTGTGACGCTGTTGTACAAAACGTGCTCGAAGATGACTGACTTGTGCGCGCTGTGCTGTGCAGTGGCTCACCCCCATCAAACATTCGCCTGTTTCCCCTACCGCACGATGCTTTGGTCGCGTTGCGGTACCCACCAGGGTCCTCGTACCGTTCGGCCTCATCCCGGAAAAGGCTGCCAAAGGGTGCTGGGGAGAGGCCCTGCGGCTAGTCCTAGCTCCGTCTCAAGTGGCATCGACGACACCCACGGCTGCCTGTAAACAGCGAGACAAAGTCAGTGATCCCGATGCAGAAGAAGAGGAAGAAGCGGAGGAGGAAGAGGAAGAGGAGGAGGAGGGTATTGTTACTGAATTGGCGGAAGACAAAAAGGGAATTGACCCTCTCGTGGAGGGACGGAGTTTGACTCTTCCTGGCGGACTGTGGGACGAGGTGAACAGGAGTGCGGCTTGGATGAACTGTGATTGTTCCATGCTCATCACAAACCGGAGCGCATGTTCTGGGGGTGGTGTCTCCTTTGGTTTATCCTTTCAGTTGTTACAGCAAGGGGCGGGTGGCGGTCGGGGGGGTCGGGGGGGTCGGGGGGGGCACCAGTGCTGTTCCGTCGCGTCCCTCCGGCCGGGAGCATGTGGTTTTGGGAAGGCGGGCTGCGACCGGGCAGACGGGACGAACCCCTCTTTCCTTACTGACCCCCGACAACGTGAATGATTTTTTTAAGTGTTGATACGGGATACCCGCTCTTCTGTTGGCAGCGGAAAGCGAGTCGGCCGCCCTTGACACCCCTCGTAATACCACTCGGTCCTTCCACCTCGCTCCGCTCTGCTCTCCTCTCTCTCTCTCTCTTTCTCTCTACCTCTGTGCACTCTCTCTCTCTCTGCGTCGCTTCGTCTCTGCTTCTCTGTGCACTTCACGGAACCGACGGGAACCGATGGGACTCATCACTGTTAAAGGAATTGGATGGAGGAGATCCCGAGGCTGATGACAACCGCGCCCTCATCAGTACAGCTGTTCGCACCTGCAAGACAGCCGGGAGGTGAATGGGAGCTCGGCGCATAGAAGTGCTTCTTGTAGCGTATACTGTACTTGGCCGATGCAAGGAGGGGCGGCTCGCCTCATGTCTGGCCTGACTGGGTTGTCCCCGGCATCAACCGGAGACCAGTCGAAGCATTTCTACCACTTGCCCAGACTAGCAACGTCTCGAGCGCCTTTTAAATCGCGGTCAAAACAAATTCAGGAGACGTAACGCACTGCTGATGATTCATGCACGCACTATACGCTAAACAAGTGGTGTTCGCCATGATTGTACTTTTGCCTCGCCCGTGCTCTCGATTCCAGCAGTTCCCGCCATGCAACACCTCGTATCGTCACACATTCTCGCTGCCGTTGGCCTGTTTGTCTGACCTACCGCATCATCGTATAAGTACCTCCCTACCCGCCGTCGCCGTGACAACACGTGACGCAGTGTGGATCTGGCCCGCTGTTCAACCTGGCTTAAGTTCTCCGAGCTCCACGATGAAGAACGCACGACGGTGGTTTTCCTTTGCGGCGGAGGCGTTCGGGTGGCTGAGGTGTGTGCGTCTTGTCTTGGCGTCGCTTTGGTGGTTGTCCCGCGCCAACGTGGCCGTGAGAAAGGTTGGAACCGGGCTGGCAGAGCTATCGTGGTACAATTGTAACAGTACTTCGAAGTACAAAACAATGCGAATTGTCTACCATTCACGACTTTGCGCAACCGTGCAAGTGGATTGCGCCCGAATCCGTTTTGGCATGTTGTGACACCTGCGTCTCGTTTTTTCCACGCAATACGCTTCACACTGTGTCGAACGCAAGAGGTCGGGGCTCATTGGCTGTGGCCAGGTAGACCAGCATGCACACTCGCAAGGGCGTGTTTCGGGCGACATCGAGATGCTGCCCACACGCTGTTGCGCCAAAATACTGCTGTACGCGGTGACCCCTTTCGTTTTGTGCGCTTCGTGCGGTAGGGAACACCGGGTGACCTTCACACGGCTACCATCTCAGATCTCGTCAGCCGAAAATCAAGCGACGTCGTGCCCTCTACCTCGGGGACTGTTGAGGTTACCCGTGGCGGTGGCGGGCACAAAGCGCGGAAAGGCTTGGAAGCAACTTTTGAGGTGAGTGATATTTTGTGTTTGTTCACGCGCTTCTCATGTCCCCAAGTAGTGCAAGGGGACACCCGGATGTTCGGCTCCGGAGCTATCGTGGATGAACGCGGTGTGGCAGGGCGTGGAGATCGACGGTGCACAGTGATTGGCCACGACGGTCGCCGCTTCCCGGTGGGACTTGCTAGTTCCACCGGTGGGACCTGTTAATACCAGGAAGTCGGAAGGAAAAGAGCTGGTTTGCAAATGCCAAATCGGTTCAGAACGGTATTTTACATTGTAGCGTGAGAGAACAACAACCCTAAAACAGCAGCAGCAGCAGCAACAACAGCAGAGACATCGGCAGCAAGAGCAGCGCGGAAGTGTGCGTACTTCGAGCCCCCGACCTGCGAGAGTTGTTCACAGTGGCTGCCTTGGATTAGTGTGCATGGGTTTGCCCGGCATGGCTCGCATCCTTTTCTCGCACCCAACTCTCATCCTGCCGGCTCCCTCCTTTGTGTTCGCGTTTTGCCCGGTTCGTTTGTCTGCACCGTCTTCGGTCAGGCCAAGCTTGGGGCCATTTTCTTGTGGGGGTTAGTGTCGCGAGATTGGGCCGGGGTACTGTTGGACTGCCTCAGGTGATGCATCCGGGTGGTCTGTGGGTGGTCGCTTGGCTTCTTGTGGCCATCTCCCGCCCGTTCGTAAAACGATCGCTGTCCTTTTCCCGTCGCCATGCTCGGCGATTCGGGCAAACCAATCACAGTGACAAGGTGGTGTGTGCCCCCACGCTATACGCGCATCGACTTGGCGAACAGAGCGGAAAGTGCATTTGAAATAGAACTTGACCTGGCCCTGCACCTCAAGCTCACGTTGGTGGGGCCCCAAACGTGCCCCTACACCGGAATCCGCGTCATCTTCCAATACCAACAAAAACAAGGGTGGCACGAATACCTCCCAAGAAGAGATGCCAGGATTTGATTGATTCGTGCGGTCCGCGCACTCCTTTCTCGTATGAGCAGGTGCGAAGCGGCCGCGTTGGACCGCCAGGATACAGACGGGGGGGGGGGCAAGACAGCATCCATGGGTTGCGGTCCTACTGCTGCTGCTGCTGCTGGCGTTGTTGCTGCTTCTTCTGGCAGGGGTGGTTGTGGGGGTGGTGGGGTGCAGGAAGAACCCCAAGCTGCTGCTGCTGCCGCAAGAAAGAAGGAAGGCTCACCACCCGATCATGATGGAAACACCAGCCGAGGTGCGTGAGTGATGGAATGCCTTTTTAGGTTTCGTGCGACGCAGAGTGTATTTTTCGTCTTTCCGTCGTTGCCCGGGGGTACCCTTTTTGACCCATGGTTTGCGAGGCCTGTACGTTTTTTTTTTTTTGTCCCGTGTGATGCAGCAGGTAGACATGTTGTTCCCGGCGTGTTCGACACGCAACCGTACATGTTGCCGGAACTGGGGGTATTCAGCTGACGGAGCGTTTCAATGCATGCAAAGCATCCCTCTCGATATCTTCGCCTATGTTTGGCATCGGACCGCATATGACCATCTCATATCGTGTTTTGTTGTGTCTCGGGGGAATCCCCTGGTTCTTCATGTTTGCTCAAGGAACGTGAACCCGCGAACAGCGCATCGTTGTAGAATCACCGCCACTCGGGTTGAAACGTCAGTCACACTCGCGTCAATCTGACGCGGAGCGAGGTCATCCAGCCGATTGTTTTTGTTCTGTGGCGAACGACTCGAACGAAATCACAGGTGCGAGCAGCGTTCGGGCTGTTCGACTCGGAGGGGAAAGGCTGCGTAGCGGCGGACCTTTTGCAGGCGCGTCTCTTGGACGCTAGCTCCAGGTACCTGCAGCGGTAGTTGTTGGCCATGTCTTGACGGAACGCAGATATGGTTTGTTCACAACGACAACGATGCCGAAAATAGAAACAAGAGCCGCGCCTTTGGTGCCCGATGTGTCGCCCTGGTGCTGGCCTTCCGACATTAGCCTTTCAAATAGCACCCTTGATGATCGTGGGCATCTGGACCAAAATAGTAGTCTAAACGAGAGAAATACACTCGGACTGGATTAAGTTAATCATGCCGCTATGGCTACCTCGCGCTGTGAGTCACAGCTAGCGTTGAGTGCGCACTGAGTTTTGCCAGTCAGAGGCTAGCCATCGTATCGTTTCTCTCTGTGCCGGGTATCACCAATGCAGACATACTTCCGGCGTTGCTGTCGCTCACAAAAGCCATTGGGACTTTCAGCTTGTCATTGACTTGGTCTGGCCTATAAGCACGAACCAACGTCTGTCTCAAACTGTTATGCACACACTGCCACCGGACGTGGCCCCCCAGGATATCGGCCCGGTACCTCAAGCAGTTGCTGAGTCGAGTCTGCAGAGTGGCTGGAGATGGCAAGCGCTTGTTTTTCGAGTACAAGCTGCGTCTAAATAATCTGACAACTGAGGGCAGCAGGCTCCAGGTGGAAGAGAAGGGAGGGAAGGATGAGGAGGAGAACGCGGAGGACAGCAAAGACGCGGAAACGAAGCAGGGCGAAGCGACGGGGCACGGCGTTACGTCACCACCGCCTTTCGCTTGAACGAGCGTCGCGGCGCCTTACGGTGTTGGAGCCCCCCCCCTCGTTTACGTTTTGCGCAATTTGGCGCTGAATTTCATGAGGCAGCGCTATGTTGCCAAAAAGATAAATAGGAAACTCGAAGAGCAAGTGGCGGCCGCATCGGCGGCGGTCCCGTTTTCCCCAGCGTGAAGTCTTGCAAGCCAATCAGGTGCCGTTTTCCCTTTCGAGTAGACACGCCAGGATGGCCTCGCGCCTCCCTGCTCGCGGAAAGAATTGAGAGTTCCCGGTGCACACTTGGTGTGAGAGAGCTGTTTTACAGCAGTCCTTTGTAAGGACTTGCATCGTCGGCATGACTGTCTCGCCCCCATCATGGGCGTTTCGAAAACGATGCACTAAGGCCCACTAGGATAAAACCATTGCACCTGTACGACCACAACCTCGCGTACCCGCGTGCTACACATCGCCTCAAGCTGTGAACAATGAATTTACACGCAATATATGCATACACACGACTATGATAAAACGAGCATAAATTTCTTTAGGTGCTCCAAAAATTTACAAGGGACGATTGCCGCCCCCGCCCCCCTGCTACATCAAGTCTATCATTCTCACACAATGCCAGCACGCACGGAATAAACTAACGACTGAATCGAAGTGGGCACGCACACTATACACGACGACCTCACGGACCTGCACGCTCTATCGGGGCTGCTAGTTCGAAACAATACGTTGCATCTTTCTCCCCTAATGCATTGGCGGCCACCATGTTCGCACGTTCAATATCAACACTTCCATACATACAGACGCTAAACTCACGAAATAAATATTTTCGCTGCCTTGAATCGCGCGAGTAGAGCGACCACTGCTGTAGCAATATTGAGCAGCATGTTGGCCGCAGCACCCCAGTAGTCGCCCTTGAGGGCGAGGTCGCCAGCATCCGCTGAGAGGTCGGAGAAACCTTCATTCCATGTGGTGCCAGCCAGTCGTGTTCCACCGTTCCAAACGATCCCATTCCGCATTACACCCGGGTCGTGCCACATCGTGCGCACGACGGGAGGGTAATGGCGATTTAGTCCAACAATATAACTTGGGTCCGATGATATATCAGCGGCTTCGTGGCAAGACGTTGGTTACAAATCAAACGGATTAATTAGCGAGGTAGAAGGCGTCGGTGCAAAAGTGAACCAGTGACGCTCATGGAAGCAACAGAAGACAGAGAGGAATGGCAGCGAGGCAAGTGAAACAAAAGTGAGACAGGGCGAGGTTTGGAGAAGAAGAACGCCGTGCCATGGCCATTGAATTTGAAAACGAACGTTTCGCCGTAGTAAAAGTCCCGCACACACAGCAATTGGGGCAAGGGTTAACTTCTAACCGGACGGTAAACGAGACCAAATAAGGGTACGTTGGAGGAACAGAAACAGCGGAAAGAATCTCTGTCACAAGATTCCGGAGTGGGACGGACGATGACGTCTTGTGCAAAGAGATCGAAGGTTGGGACAAGAAGAAACACGAACCAAACGGAGCTGTAAGAATATGTAGCGGCACGGGGAAGCAGGGTGATATCGTAGCTGGAAAGACCTTCCCACAAAAACGATCAAAACGGAATCCAACCGCGTCCCAGAGTCCGAAGCTGCACTGCCCGACAGACCTCGTCATACGATAACACGTGCTTGTCCTCTGTTATTCTCCCACGTGTGTTACTCTTCGCGCCGCTAGTTCGGACCAATCCGTTCACACAACAAGCTGCCTGCCTCACGAGAGATGCCACCGAACGATGAAACCCGCCCCTCTTGTCGGCCACCAACCAACCTGTTAAACCTTACTCACTATCCAGGTGCGGACCGTTGTACGAAACATGAGGGATGAACAAACACATTTTTTCAAATGTTGACGAAGCAAAACTAAGGTCAAGGCGACCTTTCTCTCCGTCTCCGACTCCAGCTTGTTGTCTGCTACCAGGCGTTGTGTGAGTTGAGAAATCTAGAGAGAGGGAAGATGCAACTCTCCTCGTCTCTGCCACTCTCTCCATCTCACCCGAAATTGTCCCGAAGCCTTGGGCGACCAGAGCAACGAAGAATGCGCTCTCTAACGTCGCGTCTCGCTCCTCCGGCTCCAGGCTCGCGGCGTACCGACCGGCGGTGATCACCCCGGCGAATGACAGAGCGTTGCACCGCCAGTCTCCCCAGCTGCTCGATACGTCACAAACACCGTAGTTGGGCGGGTGGGAAGGCTGTTATTCTTACCGTGCTTTTCCCTCCGTTAGGGTTGGGGAGGCTTGTCACGAGTGGGCGCTTTCTCCCAGCCTCTTGCTGGTAACCTGTTCTCATCCACGGAACCCCTTGGTGGTTCCATGATTTCGACATTATTCTCCTGCGGAATAGTTGTCGATGATGTAGAGTTTGGGATGAAATGATAACTCCTGCTACGGCGGATCCAACCATACTTCATGTACTGACATTTATTCCCTGTCATTGCCTGAAGTTTATCCCCATACTTCTCCGTCCATATTAACGGACAGGGGAACCTCGAATCAGCGAAGGTGTACACAGCAACCATCGGTGCTTACCCAAACGCTGAAAACCTTACACGTGGGTGTGTGTTGTGTGTGAACGTGTTGCTGTTCACGTCAATGACCTGCACAAGCTCGCTGGGACAAGTCTACCCGATGGTCAGCAATGCCGCCGCTTCTTGATCACATCAGTCGCTTATCTGAGAAAAGGAACATCCAATTCGTGGTCGCGAAACATGGGACCCCAGAGGAGAGCACTACATCCCTGCTGTGTGTTCGGTTTGGTTTTCCGAGAGGCAGTCGCGGTGAATATTGCCGGGCGTCAAGGCGCAGCCTAGAATGCCCACACCACAACTGCAGCAGTGGCGGTGAAAACGAAACAAAACACAGATAGTATACCGTCTCATCGTCCGTCTACTTTCGACGATGGATTGGGATCCTTCAACGCATCGTCGGGCACGCGATTGCGGTTGTAGCACGCCATCCCCAGAGAGACACACACTCTTCTCTCTCGCGTGCATTGACAACTTTCCAGACAACGCCCGAGTTTCTTGTGGTGGCGTTGAGATGCCAAAAAAAGAGCGACCCGTGCTAAGTCATGGTTGTAAGGTTCTCCCAGAAAACCGAATCGAATTGGTGTGTGTGTGTCTGCGAATGGGTTGTCTCACTCACACAATTCGTCCTTCGGCCCCTCCGTTTAAGGTCGAGAACCAGTTGCCGATTATTCCACCTCGAGAAAAACGAAGACAGCGGCACAGGGGAGAGGCAGACACAGACAGGAAAGCAGACCAGTTGGCAATCGACATCGCTTTTCCCGCCAGACACAAATCTACTGGAGGGTGATGCGGGAGAGCTCGCGCCCCATCTTCCTTGATCTTAGGCAGGGGATGTCCGGCATTACCCCCGTGCTTTCACCTCTTCAACAACTCGGGGGTCCCGATGGAACGTTTGCGCCGTCTCGTTTAGAGGAAAGAAAAATGTTTTAGAACCAACAGCTGTTTTGACGATCGATTCTAAGATCGTTCGATTTCGTTTTTAATATGCTGGTGGACTGAAGGAGATCCTGAAAAAACACAAAATCTTGAGCAACACGCAGCACACAAATTGGTATGCAGTTGCCATATTGTCAGTCAGAGCACACGCTGCATGTGCCCAAAGCTGTACGGTAGCCTTCCGTTCCACATCAATGACTGCTTGACTATCGGCGAAACTACCGGCGATTCGGAGTCCAAAGAAGGAAGCCTTTATCTCCTTGGAAGATGCAAGCATGAGCCGCAGAAAGAAGTCTACAGGCCCCGGAATGCGGCTCTTCAGTTGAGGAAGACAGAACCATAGGGTGCACGTGAAGACGGCGGGTGGCGGTGGTACAACAATCCCTACCGCGGCAAAGAACAACGAAAATGTTTTTTTTCCATCTTGCCATACTTCAAGTATAAACAAGATAATGAAAAAAAACAAAATCGTGCAACAAACACCCTTCGTTGCGCCCGCGCCTGTTATTATCTTCGCGCGCGCGCACCTATGACGGCCATGATGCTCACCTATAACGGCCATGATAACCCCCCAGCCGAGCTTGTGTGGGTGTCGGCCTGCCATCCAGCCGCCCCACGCTATGGCCGCCACCGCCGCCACCAGCGCCGTCTTCTCCGCCCCCTTGCACATTGACAGCGGGCCTCTCTTTGCCCAGTCAACCGCTTTGCGGGAAACCCTCCTTTCTCGTCATTTGGGAAGGGATTGGTTGTAAGACGAAGGCAGACACACACGTGCAAAACACAAAAAAACACTAGATCAGTTTTCGCCTCCGTTTCAGGAGACGCACGTGTGTCTGTGCATCAATCGCTTCGTGAAAGCCTAAAAACAGCTGCGGTTCAGTGGATATTTCTACGCTACTTCAAAAAGGAGGCAGGTTAAGTGCAAGTTAACAAGACGGGCGACGTCATGCGGTTGCACAAAATCGGTTGTTGATGTTGCCGCCGCTGACTTCCTGTATGATACATGGGATTCTGCTTCAAGCCGTTCCATTCTCTCTCAGTTGCCGCTCCCCCTCGGGTGGTCTATTACGTGACGAAGTCCCCGATCTGGGCAAAATTCCGATACACGGTAAGGCGTGGTCGTACGGGGTTCTTTCTGATGGTACAGGCAACGACGCACGTACCATACGCCATGTGCACGCAGCAATACCACTGCCGCCACGTAACGGGCAGGTCGTCAGCTAGCGCAAGCGATACCGGACAACGGATGGGACCATTGCTCATTACCTCGAATAAACCACCCGGCGATAGTCGACAAACTTTCAAGACTTTCGTGAAAGAGGACGGTGGAGCTCGATACCTCGCGCCCTTGTACGCAAAAAAAGATGCTCGTTCGCGCTTGCGCTCTCCCAACGACGACGACGACGACGACGACAACAACAATAAACTCACCATCGCCTACCCCACCGGTGGGCCTGCAAATAAACTCCCCAGCCCAGTAGAATGGAAACCAACAGGTACCCCACTCCAGCCTCCAAGGATGCAACGACAGCAAGATGGGCCCCGTGCTCCACCACGAACGACAAGCTGCCGGGGCACCAGCAAAATGAGCGCGAACAAGCGAACCACAGCAGTAGTATTGTGGGCAAGGTGCTGCTCTCTACCATCGAAAAGAGCGTTCACGCTGCATGCAGCACCACCCGTTGAACAAAAGCGGAGCCATAGCCTTTTCCCACAAGTCTACCTGCACCCAGGGCAGATTTCGAACGCACATGACCTCTGTTGATTCCAAACACGTTTATGTATTGCGCCTCTCCTTCCGGATGGAACGTGCAACATGGACCACAGCCAGAGGTCTCGAATGCGATGGTTTCGTGCGAGGAACATCTTGCCAACACCCCTTCTCGCGAGCATGCACGGCATCCTGGTCAGCTTCTTATGCCCAAGGAAGACAAAGGGAAAAGGAGGAAAATAACGAGGAGAGCAAGGAGAGGTCTTCCAGGTGTACAACAAGGGATCCTGGTGTGCACCTTGGACTCGGGAGATGAAACTGGTACCACTACTGTAAAAAGTCTAGGGGCATCCCGTGTGAATATATACCAATACCTTGTCCACACCGCCAAGAAGCCACTGATGACTATTGAGATCGCCGCTCGGACCTCGCTATTCTTGTTATCCTCCGGCGCCATCCCCCCTCCATTGGCGAGCCCTGCGAGAAAGGACCTACAGGCGCACAAGATCGAGCACGAAATTGTATTGATGTGGTTCAAGTGAACGGATCGGAGGCCCTCTCCGCCGCATACAACCACGACTGCATCCCATCGACGCCACCTACTTCTTCTTTCAACCACTGCGTGTCTACCGTCTGTGGCTATCGGCGGAAATGGGGCGGTCATGCGCACTGCTCCGTACGCACGATGCACACGCACGGCGGAACTGTACATGCAGTTTGCTCAGACCCACCCGGAGATATTTAGAAGCGTGGCGGATACGTCCACTCCATTCCACTCCCAAACCGGCACGAGTGCGTCTGTAAGAAGGAAGGCAGTGGCGGCGGCGGCAGCTTGTGACATCCCGATCGTAGCCATGCTCTCTCACTCTTGGCGTGCTTGAGTGCAGCTGCTAGGTTGGTGTGTTCAGTGTTCAGTTGTGTTGCCGAAAAAACGCGGTGCGATTTTTCACGAACCAGAAAGAGAACCACATTGTGAGCGCACTGTCCCGAAAAAAAAAAAAGGAGTCGTTACGCTACATGCAGCAGCTGCTATGCATGCATGACTACTATGTACAACAACAGCAGTGCTGCTGTGTATGCAGATGGCATGTAGATAGGGCAGCAGTTGACGAGGGTCAGCATTTAATGCAGACATACCGTGTGCGTCTCCGCTTTCAATCGCGAAAGCGCACGGCACAACGGATGTGTACGACGAATGAATGTTCTTGGTTCGTCTCGTACATCATACGATGAAGAACTGATGCTACTGATATGTAGAGAGAGGACCGTAGGCTACATACCAAGTTCGCGGACGTGATGCAGGTTGCCCGAATGACGCCGGCGGCGACGGACAGCATCGGCAATCGTAACGGGGGAAGGGCGACTAGCGCTGGCAGAAAATTCAAACGGCGCTTGGTGACCCATCCCAGCCCGGGGAACGCAACCAACATGAACAAAGCAACGACGCCAGTGGCGATGGCGTGGGGATCAGGCCAGCAAACCCTCGTCGCATCAAACAAACTGGGGGGCAACAACGAGCGGCTTAGGATGACGAGAAATATGGTAGGCCATTCCTTGTGGCCGGAGCGCCAACGGCCTCCCTCGTCTACCAAGGCGGTCCATCAACGTCTCGATCCTATCCAAGCGGTTGGGGTCGCCGAAGGGACGTTCATCCCAGTTCCGGACAGCGTGCTCTACGAGCCCTACAGTAGGCGCCCCCTGAAGGCAATAGATCTGAGTATTTGGCAGGACCAACTGAGCACATTGATGGTCGAGGACCTTCTGCTTCGAAATTCCTCCTTCTCCAAGCTGTCGCTACGCGGAGCAAGACGAGGGGCTGACGTGCTGGCGTTGGTTGCTCGGCACTTCGGGCGCACCGTCACAGACCTCGATGTATCCGACTCTAAGTTGGTTGACGTCGAATGGCTAAAGACGTTGGGAGCAGCAACAGAGTGCCCGGCCATCGCCAGCCTTACCGCCGCGCGTTGTAGCGGCATCACCAACAAGGGGGTCGAGATCTTGGCTCGAAAGAAGGGCCCGTCCCTGCTGGCTCTGCGTGTTCCGGGGTGTGAAGCTGTGTCTGACGATGGGGTAGAGTTTGTAGCAAAGCATTGTAGTAACCTGTGCTCGATTGATCTCAGCGGGTGCCCGAGGGTACGAGACAGGTCCGTATTCGCAATCAGCGCCCTGACCGGCCTGCAAGACATCGCTTTGGACGGCTGCGCCGAAGTGTCTGACGATGCGTTCCGCCAACTCTTCACCAGCGTCACACAGCTGAAATCTCTGTCCATCAGGGGTTGTGCAAGTGTCTCGGAGGAAGGCTTGAAGTTCATGCACGAAATGCCGGTGCCGTGGGGAACCCGGAAGCACCGCAACTGCGCACTTCTTCACACGCTTCGCCTTGGACACAACAGCAACATTTCAGACGAGTTCATGATGATGGTGGCAGTCGTGTGTACGCATCTTCGGGTGCTGGAAGTGACCTCGTGTCCTCTGGTCGGAGGCGACCAGGCGATGGGAAAGATTGGCGGCCTGCTGGAGCTGGAAGAGGTGACTCTGGAGGTGCTGCCGCGGGTTAGTGACCAGGGGATCAGAGAGTTCTTCTGCGACCTGCCAAGAAGAGCGCTGAAGAGATTGAGCCTGGTCGGGTGTACTAAGGTGACAGACGTCTCCCTCAAGTGCATAGCGAAAAGCGCGCGTGCTCTTCATGAGCTACGCCTCGATCGCAACGTGAGCGTCACCGACCGCGGGTTGGGGTACCTGGCGAAGGGCCTCGCCGCCAACCTGCGGCTGCTTCAGGCGACGCACCTCGGGATGATCAAAGATAGCGGGGTCCGGTTGCTCTCACGAAAATGTCTGCAGCTTACAAACATCGATATCAGCTACTGCCTACGCATCTCCCCGGCCTGTTTTCTGGGTCTCCGCAGGCTTCGTTTACTGGAGTTCCTAGGCTTATCAAGCTGCCACGGTTTATTCAATAGCGGTGATAATAGGAGCGGTAGCGGTGGTTTGTCCAGAGAGGTGCCACGCCGTGAAATGTACCCGATCGCCTCGGCACTTGACGCTGCTGAATTTTACAAGCTTCGCCGCCTGGAGTTAGCCGACCAACCAGATCTGACAGACGCAGCCTTGCTTGCCGTGGCGAAGCGAAACTGTCGGACGCTCGCGTTTCTCAACGTATCGCGGTGCTCCAAGATCACATCCGACGGGGTCACCGAAGCGATGAAAGTCCTCACATCCCTGAAGCGGCTGGACGTCACTGGCTGCGACCTGATCAAGACGGGTGACGTCGACAGCTTCGCTGGGTGCGTCGCGCCGGCGCTGCTCCTTAGCCGCGCGCATCTTGACGCCAACGGCTTTGACGGCTTGCATTGTTGTGCTAGTGCCGAGGACGCTCGCTCACGACGGGAGGCGGGAAACGCTGTACGAAGGGAAGAGCTCGGGGCAAGGGCTATCCAGAGGGCGGTTCGAGGGTACAGAAAGAGGGAGAAGGAGGAAAACGAGGCTTCTTGGAAACACAGTCAACTGCACGCTGCGGCGTTGACTATTCAGGTAATAGCCGGTTGGCGTGGGGTCGTACACGCAATACTTCGTAGGCGGGCGAAGAGGGAGCGCTGGGTGAAGTTTGTACAGAGATGCGAATTGTTTTGTCGAACCATCGGATTCGAGGCAGTTGACTAAAGTCCTTTTCACCCGCAGAGCTAAGTCTGCTGGGTCGTCAGAGCTTGCGTGTCCTCAGCACCACAGTGTGCAGAACTGGAAATAGGTTATAGTCTCAGACCCGCGTATCACTCGAATACGACCCTCCGCGCCCTTCAAAAACATATGCATACCAATTTTTCTCTCACACACAGCCTGTACGCGATTTGACCTCCCTCCCACTGCCGCTGACACTGCCTGAACAAACCTACCGCCTTCCACAAAATCGCAATACGATGAAAACGAATCAGTTGTGGGTCCTGCGCAATATGGCGCGGAAGATCTTGGCCGCTCGCGCCATGCGGCGCGCCCGCCTGATGATCTCCGTGTTCAAGTGGCGACGGCGTACCAGGGAAGCTCGGTCCTGGAACCTCGCCGCCCACCACGGCGACAGGAAACTCAAGGCCCGAACGGTCCGGGACTGGCGGGCCTCCTGCGTCGAAGACATGGCCGACGCCAGCGACCTCGCCGAACGGGGCGAGGTTTTCTTCGAGCACATGGTGCTGAGCACCCACCTGAGGGCCTGGACCCGATTCGTGGCGCCTCTGCGGGCACGGCGGGTGGCGGCCGAGGGCAGGGCCGACGCATGCTGGCGAGCGAGGACGAGGGAGTCGCTGTTCCGGCGTTGGCAAGGCAACGTCCGGCGAATCAAGTCGCGGCAGGCGAGGTGGGTGGGCGAGGTGCTCCTGACGGTGCTGCCCGTGGAGATGCGGAATTCCTGGCGGCAGAGGCCGGGGGTGGAGAGTGCGGTGGTGTTCCACCGCCGCCGCACGCTACGGAAAGCGTGGTGGGCGTTCTTGAGCTTGAACGAGGAGCTGGCAAACCTGCAGCAACGATTCAGAGTAAGTTCTTGCGTTCTGCAGTCGCTTTGTGGCCGTTAGGCGTATCCATACCCAATGAAATGGAGGAAACCATCGCCTGCACCTGCGCTCAACTCGAGTGTAAATATCTCATTTTCATTGATGTACCCGGTCCCTCTAATTGATTGGTCAGACATTCGACAGGGCAAACCGGCCGCGCGTTCTCCGCCGCAACTTCGCACGACTGCGAGAGGGCGCGCACCTCCAAAAGTGGAAACGAGATGCAAAAGCCAAGGCGGACAAGGTGGCAACTTTGTCGCGTCAGCGCCGGGCTTTTCGAGGGTTGCACCAGGGCGCGGCTTTGGCGGCCTCCTCCCGCGTCCTGCGGGCCCGTGCCGATACCTTTGCAACTCGAACGCTGGTTGCGCAGGGCTGGAAGAGTCTCCGGGATCACCCTGCCGAGAAGAAGGTGATGATCGGGTAGATACCGGCTCGATGTCAAACTTTTCAACGGCTTTGTTTCGCTTGTTCCGCAGGCGTTGCTTCTTGCGGGATTGGTAGTTTTGTCACATTGTATCACGCGCACAAACGTACGCAGAGTCCCTCTACATTGCAACGTCAACCGTTGTTCTTGTTGTTGTCTTCGCACTTAGAACCGTTCCGATATCTGCCCAAAACCTTCCACCATGCGCACCCGTCCAACGGACGAAGACGCCTTCCGTGGCCATTGGCGACTACCCAAAGACAAGCGTATATGGAAAAATAGAGAAAAAAACTGAAGGACTCAGAAAATTCAACAAGCGCGAACGATACAACACAACGCAGAAGGACGCCATCGAAGCCAGACTCTGCACGCCACATGTCGCACAAAGCGATAACACAGATAACACCCATCTTTGCGCCGCTCCTGCGCGACACGCGAGGCCTAGCAAACAGAACAAAAAAAAAAGAACCAAAGATCGAAAACCACGGCAAAGCCCTATCCCTCTACACCTACTTATAGGCCGGTGTGTTGGTTGATCTTACCGAACAACATTCTGGTTGGTCCGTGCTTGATGGGAAAGGGACCTCGCCGGAACCCTCTCCCTAGTGGTCCTGGCAGGAGGGGTAGAGAAGCAGCTCGTGGTAATAACTGCGATGAACTATGGAATCAAAGGGACCAAGTACGAAGTGGTGCAAACAAACGTTTTCACAAGGACTGCTGTGACATGGGCAAGCAATCCGTTCAGAAACTCGTTCAATAGTACTCTCTCAACAAGCGATCACCTAATCTTTGAAAGTATGCGAACTGGTACCGTCTGGCAGATATTGCGAGGATTGATTGAACTTTGGCAGCAACGAGCGACGAGCCACCGGGACGAAGTTCTGAAACGGAAGGGGGTGCGACGTCTCGAGGACCAGCTACGGCGGCACATGCAGGTGAAAGAAACACCAGGCGCCAAGAGACAACAACACATTATTGGAGTGGCGAATTTTGTGCTCGGGGGAGGAACAAGTCTTGTCCCGGCTATATCCATTTCCAAAGTCGTCCACAGGAAGCTCAGAATGTTTGGGGAGGACGCCGACAGAGTGATGGAAGTGGTTTTGGGAGGTTGTCAGAATACTGCGTGTGAGGCTCGCGGGTGTTGGGTTCCATTTTTTTTCTACTCATGGGCAAATATTTTCGTAAGCATCCGCCGAACGATAGACGACCTGTTGATTCAGAGAGTCAGCATTGTGGCGCGCGGCCGCCCCCTAGATGCAAAGATCGACCCGGCAAGCCATGCAGCCAGCAGACAACGCCTGGGCAGACAACTCATCGCCGAGAGCGACCAGATAATCATTAACGTTTCAGATAAATCGTTTCCCCGTTGGAATTTTGAGGTTCTGGCTGCCACTTCCTTCGTAGCGGGAAGCAAACAATTAGACCTCTACCTCATGAAAGCTTTGATGACAGCTCTGGGTTGACAGTCATTAATGCGTCTAGACTATCCGCGTCTGGCGATGCTGCAGCAGTACTCCCCAACGGCCAACACCCAACAATTCCTGAATGCCTCTGCGCAAAGGTGTTCGTGCCACTCTTGCGTGTTTCCGGCCCCGGCCCACGATATCTGGCTGTTGGTCTGGTTGGTCTGCAGTCTGCGTGACTGCCCACCTGTCTCTATTTTTCGTCGGTTTGTTTGTCTGACCACTTGCTTGCTTACCCTCCCGTGTTTCGGGGTGTTGTCTATTCTCTGTGGGTAACGCAGATCAAGATAAAGACAGCCAAGGTCATGTCCAACTTCATGACGACCACCATCACTACGTGCTTCATGGCGTGGAAGCACCACCACCGCACCCTCAAGAGCGCCTCCGCGACAAACAAGGCCCAGGAAATCAAGCTTTTGCTCGAAAGGTAGACTTCAGGCTTCATGTGTCTAGAAAATAAAGTAGCAGATTACTACGTACGGTGTCTGAGGTTAAGATCAAATTGCAGTAACTCCTTCACTTTTGTTGGGTGGCAGTGCGACGAGCCACGGGCACACGACATGCATACGCCATCCTCGTGTTGGCATGGCTTACACCTTCAACCTGTGGTTGAAAGCGATCTAGGTCGCGACTAAACAAAATTCGGCTTTGGTCGACGAGGGAAAGGGATGGCTAAACCCTTGTCGCGAAAAAAACTAAGGCAAGCACCGCAGGGGGAAAGGTGGGGCAATAAAACAAAAACAGAAAAGGGAAAAACTACTGTGTGACCTTCCTCTTGTGTGACCCCGGCTGATACGTCAGGTACACACGCCGAAAGGCCTGATGGGACGGACAAACACCCCCCCCCCAGGTGTGCCCGTGACATTGGGGGTGATAGCGGGCTTCTCCAAAAAATATTTTTAGCTTCACGGTGATCGCTTGGCAATCTGTCTCGTGAACTTCGTCAAGCTTGTTTTCATCGCCCACCAGAAGCCTTCTACATTGTCGTACTTGTTGCTCTCTCCTTTCTAGGGTGTTCACCGGCTGGATGGAGTGCACTGTCGGAAACGACGCCGACGAAGAAACAGGAGGAGGAGACGGCGTAAGCTCTGCCGCTGCCACCGCCAGACCTTCTGAGCTGGCTGCTCAAGAGCAGCCAGCGTCGGCTGTCGAGGCAAGTCAAGTGCCTATCGTACAATACGGTGTTCTAGCTGAGTAGAAGACGCGTGTGAGAGGTATAACGTGTCCCATATGTGTTTGACCTGGATGAAAAGTTGCCAGGCCTGTGATTGACGGTCGAGTTCGTGTCTGTCTTTCAGGGCAACTCCGCCGTCATTGATCGTGAATACATCTGGGCTTCAAAAGTATGTTCACAACTTCTGTTTTTTGACATGGCTCCCATGTGGAAGTGCGGCGGCGGGGAAGAGAAGCCCTCAGGCCAAGCATGCGTGCGGTAGGCAGGGTCTTAGGTTGGAAGGGTCGTAAACGTGTGCCACCAAATGATTAAGCCTGGTGGTCCAAGTATGCAGCGGTGCCTACCGTTTGACGATTGATACTGTGGTGTGCTCAGAAAGCTACAGAAGGACGAAGTGTTCGTCCCTCGAACCACTCGAATTACCTGAACATCACCCAAATAATGTTCTTACGATATTCATATCCCCCAACCCTCTTCCTCCCTCTCGGCGCTTCCTCTCTGTCCCTCCCCTATCCTTCGATAAACTATGCCTTTTTTCACCGCGTGAAACGTGAAAAACGTTTTCTCGCAGCTGTTGCTCGTGGATGACATGACTGTGCAAGAAGCACAGTACGCCTCAGAACCACAACCGCAGCAACAGCATGACCCCGAACAGGTGAGCGGCAGGCCGACGACAACTGGCTCAAGGGAGAGGGAGCGGGGGCGTACTCACGTTCTTCGCGCCCTAGGAATGAACGTAAACGCTGATCACCTAGGGTGACGGACAGGGAGGGGCTGGGGTTGGATATGCGACTAAATACAAATGTGTCAATTCGTCCCCAGAATCTAAAAAAAAAACTTTGGGCTGTAAGACTATGTTCGCACGTCAGTGTCGAACACCATGCCAAGAAGCAGTACCACACGTCAGCACCGTGTGTGAACAGCGGCAGCAGCTGCAACCAGTAAGCAGAAGCACGTTTCCAGCAGGCGAGTCATGTCGTGGCGGTGTCAGCAGAGGTGCAGAGCAATGCAGACCGCGCAGACCGCCGAGCCTCAGGTTGGGACCGACGTTGGCACGCACACATATGCGCATGCGTGCATACGTGCATACATACATATGCGGGCGGAAAGGTCTTCAACCAAGAAATTCCAGAAAATACATAAACACCGCCTTTTTAAAATAACCCCCAAGCACTAGGCAACAGCGATATGGCACCACGGCTGGCCAGTTTTGCGTAAGATCATCAGGACACTGGTGGTATGGTAGTTAGCTCTCTGGGTGTAGCGAGGCGCAGGGAGAGAGAGAGAAAGAGATGGTTGAGCTCTAGGTACGAAGGTCGGATGCCCTAAGCGATCTGCAGTGAGCAAACAAGCAGATTCTCGCGGGTTGTTCTTGCAGTCAAATTCCGACACAAGGATCTTTATCGAAGAAAAACTCGCGCCAAGCTCCCTTTTATTGGAATGTTTTGCATGTTCTTCCTTGCCGCGGTGCGCTTTGTACCCCACTCCGGGGGGAGGTCTTGTATTGATTGTTTATTTGGCTGGGGTGGTCGGCCCTCTAGTGGAATACTTCGAACGAAGTAGAACGGATGGCGCACGGGGTAGGGTGTATCTTGCTTTTTGTTCTGTTAACACAGATTTTATCATCTCTTTGGACAGTGTGGGACAAGAAAACTGTTTGAGCCACTGCTTACATCGCCTTTCTCCATCGTTGCAACTGTTTTTGACGGCCACAAGAGAAGACATCGAATTGAACAACGAGCGACTGACAGGGCAACCTCAACGATGACCCACGATGGAACGATCGACGCCGACTTGAAACCATCTCTTCTTCTCTGCCTCCCCCTCCCACATGTTCGACCAGCAGCCGCAGGAGCCTCTCGACTATCCAGAACAACACAAGGGCGATGAATCGGAACCTCCGATGCAACAAGAAACCGCCGAGGAAAGCGATGATACCGGCACAGCAGCAGTCGAACATCCGCCAGAATGGGACCCCGCAGCGGTGTCGATCCAGGCGGCGTGGCGCGGTTACTCCGCCCGCAAGGCGTACGAGGAGGAGAGGGTGACGAGGCAGTGGGCGGCCGTGAAGGTGCAGTCGTTCTTCAGGGCCAGAAGGGCGAGGAGACTCTTCAACAAGCAGATGAGGTACGCGCGGGGCGCAAACACACACAAACGTGTTTGTGGAAGACTGCCCTGTTTTATTGGGTGACCGGGTTTCCGTGCGGTGCCGTAACTCAAGAGTCCACAACACCAACATACCGCAAACGTGACATCTGCGGGCTTCTGCAAAATGGCTTCTGCAAAATATTGTTTTACCACATTCGTTTGCTACGAGGGGTGGATGCCCACATGTCGCACGACACGGTTTTATGTTGGGACCTGTCGGTAAGTCTTACTCCTCGACGGCACGTGTAGGGTACAAACACAAGCTGCGAGCTCGTCCGGATTGAATCACCTCTTTCGGCTTGACCCTTTCGGGGGACTAGATGGGCACTGAAGAACGTCGTACCGGATGGCGGGTTGTCTCCGCTTGGGATGTCTTTTTGGCATGAGATTTCCAGTAACTCAACGGTGGATTGTATGCCCTGTTCGGTTGGACCGCACGCACGAAGTTGTGGCTGGGTGTATACGTTGTCTCCTCTAGGCTCACTCCCACACTCTGCTATAAGGCCATTTCTTACGGTTCTTTTTTGGGGCCGTCTTTTATTTTTTCCTTCTCAAAAAAAGACAACTGGCCAAATTAACTATACTCACTTTTTTGTTGCCGTATCTCAAATCCTGATGTTTCGTCTCAGGTACAAGCACATCCGCGACATGGTCCGAGAGGAAAAGGAGGCGGATGAGATGGTCGTGCACGACCGGGAGAGCCTGAAGTTGATGAAGTACGAAAGGGCTCTCTGCACGATAGGCCGCGTTCTCCTTGGATATAAGGGGCGGAAGATCGCCAGAGAGAGGAGACGCCAACTCAGGCTGGAAGAGGTGTGCGCATTGACACGGAAAACAGAAACGTTGACAATGTTTGTTGAAACAAGACCCATTGTATCGTTCTTGTTAACAAGGGGTGAAAACGTGAATACCCTTAGTGGACGCGTGCACTTGAAAACCGCAAGGTGTGTATCGTTTTGCATAACGCGCGTCGATTAGTACAACATTATTTGTTTTTGAATCGTTGCTGCTGTCGGCCTCCGAACTGCCTGTTCGGCCTCCGAACTGCCTGTTCGCCATGTGCCACGTTCACTCGTTCTTTTCCACGTCCGAAAGAACACACACGTTACTTTACTGTTGTTCGACTCTTGAAGCTTGAGCATATTGCACCATGTGTAGTCACTGCCGTAGTACCTTACATCACACCGAGAGGTAAAAATACTTCTTACCCCTCACGAGTACGCCAAATTGACGTTGGAATGGCGGATGTTTCACGTGAACGGCGGTTCCTCTGCTTTCGTGTTTTCCATGTATCGCATCAATCCTCGTGCCTTGTATGTTCATGGTCACGAATCATATATGCCTGTGCGGCAATTTGCTCCTAGTGCCAACACCCCGACTGTGGTTTGGAGCTGCCATTCTGGTGTTGTTGTCATTGCCACTACCGGTGCTGCTCATGTTGACGACGATTATGCTACACGCAGGCTGGCAAAAGGTTTGCAGAGAGAGAGGAAGCGCTGCGGCGGCACGAAGAAACACAGCGGAGGCTGGAGGTCCTCCGGAAAGATGAGCAACTGGCAGCAATCATCATACAGGTACTTCGCTTGACTGCATTGAGAAATGGAAAACGTTGAACTCCCAATTTGATAGTCGGCAAAGAGAACCCCCCGAAGCAACATACGGGCAAAGGGTCCAATGTCGTTGACGGAAATCAGGTTGACGCAAACACATAACTTGAGGTGGTCTTGAGACGTGAAACCGTTTTGATGTTGTGTCGAAGAAAGATAATAATTAGTGTTTGGGGAGGGGGTCCTACGGGAGGTGAACGACTTCATTGAGAGTTAGGGTCATGATAAGGTGCACGGGCGTGCCTCGCGAGACTGACCGGCTGGGCGCTCTTTGTCTCAACCAACACAATACTTAGGCTCAAATAACAGCAGACATCACAGGAATTCCTCTCACTCTAAACGACTCTGCCTGCCGGGCTAGCTAATATCAAACGTCCCGTTTGGTTTTCGGTTTTGCTCACACGCTCTTTTCTGCCGTCTGTAATGCACTTCCGTCGGTTTCGACGGTACGTTCTTACACATGCTGGACTTTTGGTGGCATGTGGTCCTTCGTTGCAATGTACTACACACACACACACACACACCCGAACCCTTGCAGGCGGCGTATCGAAGTAGATTGGCGCGGAAACGTGTCGCACGTATCAAGGAAGACAACCGCCGCACGAGAGCGGCGACTATGATACAACAGATGATCCGCTTCAGGGGTGCTAGGCACGAGGCGGCGGCGAGAAAGCGGCACTTGGGTGAGTATATCATGCATTTTCCCGCCCGCCTAAAGTGCGGTACAGCGGTGTAACGCTGTCGAGAACGATATCGAGGAATGCAACTGTGTAGGTTCACGCAAGCTGTTTTCGTATGCCAATATATAGAGATAGATGAGGTCCCTTGTAGCTCGATTATTCGATCGCTATTGCTTACCATGTGGTAGTGCTGGTCTTGCCACAAAACAGATTCGTAATTGGTTGATTCTGTTCTTTCACATGGCCAATTGCTGCGGCGCCAGGTACCGAATAACTTCTTCCCTAGTTTTTCTCCTCCAGCTGATATGTCGCTGTTGCTATTGGTGAAGGTGTGGGTTTTCCACGTGTTTAGCATTATCCACATACTAGATACGCCTAGAGCGGCCTTCTGCATCAACAGCGCGCACGACCTTCTTCGTAAGATGTTGTGTCCATTGGTTTCTCGGTGCAAAAAATGCAAACTCAAAAGAGGTAGTGAGCTCAGCTTGGACTTCGACTGTCCAAAGCATACAATCCAGCCGGCTTTCCACCACACATCACCACACCACACACAACGACCACCGCCACCGCCACCGCCACCGACTCTGCCACTACCACCATCATCATCAACACACTTGACCCTGATAAAAAAAAAAACTCCTCAACCCCTCAGTTTCGCAAGGGTCGGTTGGTCAATTGTTGCAAGCACGAAGGGCAGCGAACCACTGAGTGCACATCTTTTCCCCATTCCCCGTTCAGGACGTACTGCCTACGTCCACCTCGGCCGGCAGCGCCAGGCCCTCTTCCTCCGACTGGTCGGCCTAAGGAACCGCCGCTCCCAGAGACCGGCCATCCGCCTACTGCGGAAGGTTGGCGCCGATCTGATGGGCTTCACCACGGCCATCCGTATCCAGCGGAAGGATTTAAGGAAGGGGGCGCAGCTGGCGTGGCAGGAGCTCCAGACGCACAGAGAGGCGTTCAGGTTCGTTTGCTCGGATGCACGCTGTGCGTGCAGAAGTACATTCTCTGTCGCTGTGTGCGTGTGTTACGTTGTGTACGAGTTTGTCAGCGTCGTTTCCTTCTGTCGTGTGTGGTGAGAGGTTTGCGACCGTGTTGTCTCTTCTCGGCAAGGTTTGCCCGGGAATATGGTAGCGTTGCACGGATATTCTTATCCCAAGAGTCAACATCCACAGTTGTTTCTTTGCTTTTCGTGAACGCGATAGTATTTGATAGAGAACCTCTCATCTCCGGAAGCACACGTCCTGCCCCACCCCAACCCCCGTCAAACTCACCACCACCACCACCACCAACAACAACAACAACGACGACGACGACGACGACGACGACGACATTCGGAACCAGGACCTGCGGGCGTGACGCTTACCGACGGAGAAACTTCGTCCGGGCTCAGCAGCTAGAAGACCTGGAGCGCAAGCGCATCCGACGAGGAGACGCCGTTCAGATCTTGAACCGCGAACACGAGTTCTGCGGGTTCACAGGGCGTGTCCTTCACGTGGACTCTAGGGACCCCGGTCGAGAGGTTGCAGAGGTGAGGGCGGAAAGAGGGGAGGATGTCCCTATCTCCCGTCGTTTGAGCACATATGTGCAACGCGGTTTTCCTCAGGGCTGGTGGGGTGTTAGGAGTTGTGACCCAATTGGCTACTTAACTGCAAAGAGTGAAAGAGTGCCTCACTAGTTTGCTGATGTGCTGGGGTGTTGATACGCTACATGTAGGTGGTTGGTAGTACTAGCGGTACCCAGCGGCAGCTTCATTGAACGACGGTGAACGCCCTTTCCTCCCCTGACATACCTCTTCTCTTCGCAACCCGCCTGCCCCAATTGTATGTCCTGAACGGGTTCAGGTCAAAATTGATGACGGCACTGCTCGCGTTGTCTTCGTCCGACTGCTGAGCCACGAGGTTGGGAGCGAAGACATCCCGGTCGTCAATATGCTCAAGGTCTGGTTCAAGCGAACTAACGTTTCAAATCCCAGCATATCTAGGTGCAATTAGGTACGCTCCACCACCAACAAGAGCCGAAGGTTGAAGTGTTTGGAGGGCAGCAAGGGCCTCCAAACCCGGGCTTGCATACTTGGAAACCCTCCCCACACGCTCATACCAACCCGCGCAGAGGTAATCTCTCCCCCACCGTGACTTGCGTCTCGTAACCCTTCCTGTTGTCAAACTACCCATCTGAAATAACACTGTCACCAAGCTAACTTTTGGCGAGTCCATTTCCTCGACCGCATGCACTGATACTCGCCCTTCGTAATTTGCCCATGTAAATACTCCCTGCGTACCTAAGCTGTCCCTTCCTATCTATCCCCCAGATCAACCGACAAGAACTCCGTCATCACGAACCGGAGGAGCTTGCCCTGGTGAGGGACGCCCTGCTTGCCTGGGCCGACCGAGAGCGGGAGAAGTGGCGCACCCAGCTCGCCGCGGTTGCTATTCAACGACGAATCCGGTGAGCGAGGAGTGCTCACAGCATAGAGTCAGCGGGCGAGCGCGATGTGGAGAGGCGATGGAGTTGCCAAGTCGATGGAACCGGTCTAGCCCCCAGCCTTAAGAACCAGTCGTCAGTTACCTGAAAATTTCTCACACACTGCGTGTGTGTTTGTGTGGTACCAATGCCTTTTGTTCCAATATTATCGTGAATTGCTTTCGTAGGGGGTTCATCGCGAGGCGCAGCACCGCACGGAGAAGATACCGTCATTGGACCCGCGAGCGCGCTCTGCGACTGACGTTTCTCCGGGCTCTCGATGTCAACAATGCTGCCACCTACCAGGTGATTGTTTCGTGCCACCTACCAGGTGATTGTTTCTAGCTACATTTAGTTATTCTATAGTGGTCGTGGAGGTGAAGACGGTGCTGTCCCCACCGCTGGTGTAGCGTGTAGGTCCGCCTACTCAACAACAACTTTTTTCTGTGCGCCCTACAAACAAAGGCCGTGCGAGCTGCGGTGATGATGCGGGTGATAAGAGCGACGGACGTGCCGACGAATATGCCATGGATCCCACCGGTGCCGCCGCGACTGGAAGAGGCTTTCAAGCGCCGGAGGCGCCGGATCATCCTCCAGGAGGAAATACGAACGCGCACCGCCGAGAGAATGCAAGAAGAATTTTGTTTTCATGAGATGATCCTGCTTTCGGTTCCTCTTCGGATAGAGCTGGTTCAACTTGCGTATTTGGTTAGAGCTCCCCCTCTCCGCCGAACACGAGGCGGTCTTTATTTAGCACTTGCCATATCAAAGCTGTTCGTGACGTTGGTGGTGCGGGTGATATGACACAAATGAGGTGTAGGAAAAAAGGGTTTAAATGTACGATATTTTTCTTCAATACCCGACAAGATCCGAGAGTCGCTCTCCACGGACCCAAATGTTTTTTGTCTATTTTTCTTGCGGAATGGCAACCAAAACAACAAATAATTTTGAAAAAGGAATTTTCCGCCGTAAACTTGCGAAAAGGGCGAAACAGATCGTGGCAGGACGCTAGCATCGAACCACTTTGCTCCCTCTCCACCGTGGATGCTGTACAGCTCATTCGGACGTAGGGTGCACCGGTTTAATCAGCAACAAACAGGTTGTGCTACTTCCATCATTTTATTCGTTTTTCACGTTCACCGGTTGCTGATATGAAAGGCAACGCTTTATCGAAAAGCGATTTCGATCGCTGCCCGATCCTGCTTGTGTGTAGTGTCGCTGCCGTTCTTTCTGCGCCTAACCCTACAAGCAACTCCACTCTACTACTTTATGTGCCACTCGTCGGGTATTGCAGGGCCTTGGTCGACAAGAATCCCAGGAAGCTGCAGTGGAAAACGCCCACGTACGGGCCGCTCATCCGGCCCTATAACCCGTACAAAGAGGTACGCGCGGCAATCGGCCAACACACGGTGGTGGTGCTGCTGCAGCACTGACGAACGCTTTGCTGACAATGATACGGCTTGTCTTTAACTTGTCGTGTGTGCGGATAACAACGAGGAGCTAGACAAGCCAAGCTACTTGGGTGTCTACATGTACCCCGCCTAAGGATCCGTGAGATTGTGTGAGTTCTTGGAGAAGATTTTCCCCGAATCCCATCGATTCCTCCAAGGTAGAGATCCTTCACCTAATACCACTGTGTTGCCGCACCATGTTGCGCGTTTGATCCTCATGCTCATTGTATGTTCGTTAAACAGGGTTGACTATGTTATTGTGACCCCCCCGTCCGTTCCATCAACTTTTGCTTCCCTTCCTAGTACATGTACGGGGTCCCCGTCCAAACCACCCGACTGATACACACACCAAGATTTTTCCTGTCTTATTCCCCCACCCGAGTCATCGTCTGCTCGAATGTCTTTTGATGCCTTTCACGAAGGCATGGGCCCGACTGCTATCCAAGGTGACGCACCCGTCCGCCCTTCCTGGAATTTTCCATTCCATCGCGGGATCGTCGTACATGGAAGCTCTCGAGATGAAGGCCCAGGTATCTTGTAGGGATAAATGTAAACTGTTCTACTCTACCCCTACAATATGAAAAGAGAAAGAGTTAATCGTCCTGGACAGACTTTTCGGGAGATGTGATCCTTCTTTAAAAGGGGTCATCTCCGCAATAGGCCGTTTCGACAGCGTGGCCCTGCCCAATACACGATTAAACGCATCCCACACAAAGAACTCGGCCTTATTCAGAAAAAGAAAGAGGCGATTTCAATGCGAAACAAATATCCACCAAGGTGTCCATGCAAATTGCATATTAGCGTCGTTGCGAGCGTCTCCTCCCTTATAAGCAGATTGAAATGCTGCTCGGTACATCACAAGACATTCAGGAGTTCAAACGTGGTATCTCGGTCTTGCGGTTGTTGTTTGGCATCTTGCACTGTGTTCTTCGTCCATAGTAGAGGCGGAGGCGGGGGAAGGGGCGAGCACTGGGCAATCAGCATGCACATCAGCACGGTACACTTGTGGTCATGCTGGGGAGTTGGTATCGCTTCACAGCGGGCGCATCTACCATAAGAACCTCTGCAGGAAGACCGGGAATACCTCCTCTCAACCAACTTATACCCCGCGTGGAGCAAACAAAAATCATAGTGACCCGACGCTGTTTTTTCGAGTCTGTTAAAATAAACAACGTGAAACATCCAAGCTGATAACATTTACTTTGAACGACCGATTAAAACCACTCGAGCAGGCAAGAACGGTCTTCACGGGTGGCTTCCACTTCGCCGAGCTCGAGCAAAGCCCCCACGTCCGCACGGGGGGCCGAGCGTTCTTCCACGGGTCCTGGGCCTGCCCTCCCCCCCCCCCGGACAGCGACGCCTCCTCGACGTCCTCTTCCGAAGAAGTTACCGACTCTGACCTAAGAAATAGGCCTGAAGTTGGCAGCAGCTCCGAGGACGATGAAGACACGGGTTGTGTCGCGGTGGGGGAAGGAGAGGAGGGGTTCGAACTGGAGGGGCGTGAAGATGAAGGGGGCGGGGCGGATGTTGCTGGCAAAGGGGGGATCAAGAGCAACAAGCGGCGAATTGCTTGGGGGTGGCCGAAAACGATGAAGAGTAAGAAAGTGTACAGCAGTGGTGGCGATGAGGATGTTGGTTTGGAGAGGAAAGGTGGTGATCGTCACGACGGTGGAACGAACAAGAACAGAGAGAGGGAGGCAAAAAAGAAGAACAAGGACAGGAGGAGGAGAAAAAAGAAGAAACAGCGAAGAACGGGGAAAGATAAATCACAACCGCACGGGGAAGGCTACGTCGAGTTCTTGGACGGCTGGGGAGTTTCTCAGGTAGGGGTGCTAGCCAACTCCTGTGTCTTGTCTTTTCCTCGATAACATACACTGCGGTAACCTACTGATCATGCAAAAGACGTTCAGCGTATGTAGGTGGATACATACAAACGCGAACCATGTGTGTGTTTTTTTGTCATTTACTGGCGTCGACGACGCTGCCCTGGTGGCCATCGAAATTTGTCAGTTCCAGCGGTAAAAAGTCAAAGTCCCAGGACTGAGGCCGCAGCGGCAGAAATTGGCGGCGCCAAACTCTTTGCGAGAGGCGCACACCACGACGATAGCCCACCGCGAGCCCTCGCCCTCTGTGTGTGCGCGCACTGGCAGGAGGAAAAGACGCTGTACGTAACAGTGGTGTCGGGTCAGGGCCTCGCGGGAAACGACCGGTCGATGCTTATTCAACACTGCGATCCATTCTTTCAGCTCAAGTGCAACGGAAAGACCCACCACACCTCCACCAAGCACAATACTCGGGAACCCAGGTGTGTGTGTGTGTGTGTGTGTGAGAGAGAGAGAGAGAGAGAGAGAGAGAGAGAGAGAGAGAGAGAGAGAGAGAGAGAGAGAGAGAGAGAGAGAGACTGAAACCGAAAACAGGTTGAACCGCAAACGACCTAAAATGTTAACTAAGCCGAGAAGATTCAACCGGACAGATTAAACCGAAACCGAAAAGGTTAAGCCGAAAAAATTAAACCGAAAAAGTTTAGCCGAAAACTTGAAACCGAAAAGGTTTAAGCCGCAAAGGTTAAACCGAAACAGTTAAGCCGAAAACGTGAAGCCGAAAAGGTTAAGCCGAAAAGGATAAACCGAAAACAAACGTGTAACCGAAAACAAACAAACGTGAAACCGAAAAGGACCGAAAAGGAGAAGCCGAAAAAGGTTAAGCCGAAAACGTGAAACCGAAAACGTTGGGCCGAAAAGGATAAATTAACCGAAAATAAGGCGAAACTGAAAACAAACGTGAAACTGAAAAAGACCGAAAAGGATTTGCCGAAAAGGTTAAGCCGGAAAGGCTAAACCGAAAAAGTCAAGCTGAAAACGTGAAGAAACCGAAAAGGTTGTCGGGTAGCGGGTGCTGATCGTCAGAGACTGTGGGCAAAAGGCTGACTCAAGACCTTTCTTTATCACCGAGATTAACGAGTGAACGGCAGGGCCAGAAGCCCTGCATTCCAGAAGGGGCTCCGCCCTTCCAGTAACGCATACCCACATACACGACCCCCCCCTAGATCTCCGTAGATCCGTATCTAGTGCTGAGTACCCCCAACAAAGGTGGAGCTGAAAAGGACAACAACCCGAAAACAACGTGAAACCGAGAAAACGTGAAACCGAAAAGGACCGAAAAGGATAAGCCGAAAAGATTAAACCGAACGGATTAAACCGAAACCGAACAGGTTCAGCCGAAAACATGAAACCGAAAAATTAAAGCCGAAAACATGAAACCGAAAAGTTTAAGCCGAAAAGATTAAAACGAAAAAGTTAAGACGAAGACCTGAGAGAAACCGAAAAAGGTTGAGTCGAAAAGGAGAAACCGAAAAGGAGAAACCGAAAACGTGAAACCGAAAACGTGAAACCGAAAATGACCGAAAAGAAAGGAGAAGCCGAAAAATTTAAGCCGCAAAGATTAAACCGAAAACAAACGTGATACCGAAAACGTGAAACCGAAAAGGTCAAGCCGAAAATATTAAAGCGAAAAGGTTAAGCCGAAAACGTGAAGAAACCGAAAAAGGTTGAGCCGAAAAGGACAATAAACCGAGAACGTGAAACCGAGAACGTGAAACCGAAAAGATGAAAACAACCCGAAAAGGACCGAAAAAGTTACGCCGAAAAGAGTAAACCGAACAGATTAAACCGAAACTGAAAAAGTTCAGCCGAAAATATTAAACCGAAAAGTTTAAGCCGAAAATATTAAACCGAAAAAGTTCAGCCGAAAACGTGAAGAAACCGAAAAGGTTGAGCCGAAAAGGATGCACCGCAGCGGAGGTGTCGTCACGTGTAGAGACGCTCTCTTGGTCGAGAAAGTGAGACGGGGAAAATATCTTGATTGGGCAAACACATTTGCAATCGTGAGAGCACGCGTAGGAAAGAAAGATGAGAAGATTGTCAATGCTCTATCTGGTACCTGACGTATGTGTTTGTGACGACCTCGTGCCTGACAATAACGAAAAAGTGGCAACGAAACAGTATCTGGGATGAAAACAGCGCGATCCTTGTCCGTTTTCTTGTGGACTGGCGAAAGGTATCTCTTTTGCCACTTCCCCCTCAGCCCCCCACCCTACCTCCTGGCAATGACACCACGTTATCAATGCAGATCGTTTGTTTCAATTACAACCATTATATAGGTACAACGAAACGTTTGAGTTCGATGTGTCCAACCCGGAGTCAGTTCTGTCCCTGGAGTGCTGGGAAGAAGACACTTTCAGCAACATCTACATTGGTTCGATCATTATACCACTCCGAGAGCTCTCGGACGGGAAGAAGGTGTGCTCGCTCTTTGACTCATCGACTTGGGTCGATTCGAGTCAAACCGTTTCGTTTTAATTGTTTTACAAGTGGTGATGTTTTTTTTTCGTATCCTACATTATTACAGATACCTTGTGAAATGTACCGTAGTCTTGCTGAAGTTGGTCCCTCCCCCCCGGACCAACGTTGTTCCAGACCCATCCATGTTCGGAGGGCTCTTGCACTGAGTTGGTGTTGGTATCAATCCAGAGTCCTGAGTTGTCCTCGTGCCACTGAGCTTCTCGCATATACCCGTTGATGATGGACGTACAATACGCTGTGCCAGCATAGCCCGCGCTTGGCGCAGCTCAGAACTCGATTCTCTTCTAACGAGGCGCCCGCACTGCTTACACCTAACAGTGGCAAACCTGCTACAACGACCAATATCTCTTATGGACCCTGCCCCGCCCTCCTGGCCTCCTCTCGCACATGAGTGAATCAACCATCCTCCTTCTACCCCGCCCCTCGTGTTCTGCTTGCCTCTCGATGAAGGTACACAATTGGTTCACTCTCGGAACAGGAAAAGTCCGAAAGACGAAGGTGACGAAGAAGGAGAAGCAGCGAGGAAGCGTCGAACTCAGTGAGTCTGTGCTCCTCGCCCTCCGATTATCCGCTTCTACATTCCTGCAAGACCCCATTATGTTTCTCGATCGGTCTGCCTTGTAAGGTGAAACAGAGAACACCTGCCCAGTGGTGCGGTTGCACTATGCACGTCCCTCCCTCCTGCCTCTTCGCTAGTCGGTGTTTGGCCTGGGCCATGGCAATTTCATCGTCGAGAACAGCAAAAACATAAACCAAGCAATACACACAACAAATCACTAAATAATTGCACAGTTCTGCAGTGGCTGCCCAAGGAGACCGAGGACGACGTAAGCATCCGCATCCGCCTCTCCAAGGCGGCCGTCGTGCTGCAGTGCTGGGCGCGCACGATCGTGGCCCGGAGGGAGTTCTCGGAGGCCGCCGCGGAGTTTGCGGTGAAGGCGGAGTTTGCGTTCATCGTGACGAGGAGGATACAGATGTGCTTCCGCCGTCACCGCGCGAGGGAAGAGCTGAGGGTGCGCCGAATGCACTATCGCAACGCCTGCATCTTGCAGAAGTTTGCTCGAAGAAAGGTTCGTGGCGATTATAGTGGTTCTACACGTGCTTGAATACGCTTGTTCTGCAGTCGCTGCGTTTTTGGAACCGTCCTCGACTAACTCGCAAAGAAATAATTGTCCCCTTTTGCGAAGCCCTGATTTCCAACACTGCTTAGTCAATCACGTCCCACATTGTTCCTGCAGCCCACTGCACAACGACGACTTCAATATTCAGCTACTTACACAGTACCAAACACGTGTCGACACGTGGTGCCTAGAAAATCGCTTTCAAAGGCCTTATTTGTAATCGATTCACCATAAGAAAAGCTTTGTTTGTGTCGTAGACGCATCAAACCGACGTTTTTTGTGCAACAGTGTTGTAAGAATTGCGATTGTGTCATTCTTGGGAAACCGGGGTCACGAAAAACACACCTGGCGTACCCCCGGCGGAGATTCATGAGGAAGAGCACGTAGAAGCTGTCGGTCGGCATGCTTGAGAGAAGAGACAGAACTACGGAGCACGTGAGCACGACAAACGATAGAGGCGCTGGTCGTCATGGCCACGCGTTCAACGTACATGTAGTATCTAGAACATCTTTTGCAAATTTCTTAATCAATTCGATATATGTAGACTATCTGGTATTCCTATGTAGAGCCTATTCTTTCGTGATACAGACGACGAATCAGTACCCCCCACCCCCTCCTTGCCCCTTCCCGTCCGGTTGTCAAATTGCCCACCGTCCTGTGTACACTACACCAATAACGACCGTGCCTGCCAATCCACTCCAAATATTAAAAAAATACAAAAAGTTGGCGTTCATGGAAGCGGCTTGGCGGAGGCTGTGCAGGGACAAGGCCACCATCATTCAGTGCTTCGTCCGGCAGTACTTGTCCCAGCAAGAGCTGGCCCGCCTGCGGGAGGCAAGGCGCATCTTGGAGAGGGACATGGCCACGAGGATACAAGCCAACGCGAGGTCAGTCGGTCGGCATCGTTGTACTCGCGTGTTCAGATGTGTCGTTCCGCCGTCTTCTAGCTTCTTCGATTCTCGTTCGTTCGAAGTTTGCCTGCCCATTTTCTCGCCCGTTTGACCCACGCACGAACACACCAACGGCTCACTCCGCCTGCTTCCATTGCCCCGATCTCCCCTTCTGGACCGAACTCGAATCTTTCCACTAACCCAACGAAACCTCTTGTTGGTCGCTTGGGGCTGGTGTCGCCGTCGGGCAAAAAAACGTCCTCGGCACGCCAGGGGAAAGCTGGCGCGTATGTTCGTGGCGGCCAAGCGAGCAGCAGCTCTCGCGGAAGAGGGAAAGACAGGAGAGGAACGATCGTCCTCGGAGGACCGCGTGCGGTCGGTTGCCGAGTGGCTACCGACATACGGCACGGACCCGTACTACGCCTCGAGGCGCATCAGGCGCATCACGGAGAGGGTCTACTTCAAGGTGATTTTTGTGAACATGGAGGAATTGGGCAGTTATTTGTAGGGGGGGCTGGTGTAGGCTCCGGGCCCCGCCAACCCACGCTCATGCGCACGCGCGAGAAAAAAAGTGCTGCGGCCGATTGCAACTGTGACTTGGATTTTCTTGAGTGTCGAGCTTTTATTCATTTGAGAACCTGCTCTGGTCTTCGATGGGGCGGTACGACCACGGTATCCAGGCAAACGCACTCACAGAGGACTTTCTTTTCACTAGACTGTCGTGATATAGGTGTTCGGACCAAGCGATGGGTCATCACGTCTTGTACCGGTGGTGTTACGATGCTATCGTGCCATTGGTTCTCGGACAGAGTACCCACGTAGTGTAGGTGCGTATTCCGTACAGGTCGAAAAAGCAACCACACTAGGCATGCACTCTCGGGCCTCAGGTACCCCGTGCACCCTTGTCAAGGTAAAATATTTTGTTCTCCAAAGCATGCTTACAAGTAGTCTACACTGGCGTGTGTCGCTTTCGTACGCTCTCCTCTATCCGCCGCAGATACTAGGCAAGGCGGGGTCCACTGTTGAGACACGATTCGGAACAGCGAGTGTTTTGCGATACCCAGCGAGGGTTTGCCTGTCTGAGGGGGCAGTGGACAAGGGAAGTGCCCTTAGAGACGCGAAACGCACGGTAGAGGTGAGTGGACCACCATGAAACTGATGTCACCGCGGTTACCACCTTTTCGTCGTGGACGTCGTCGTTGCCGTCGTTGCTAGCCCCGTACGTTACTGACGTAAGCGTTTACGGGCTGTGTTGCTCTTGTGAACACAACACACGCCTGCCTTCCAGAAGGAGCGCGCTAGAGATTCATAGCAGCCGAGGCAACAGAAGCAATTGGTATTCCTGATCCCCAGGCGAACTGAACGTTATCGCTACGGACGTTCTTTTCTGGCGTTATCTGTCCACATTCGCTCTGCAGCCCTCCCGCCCGCCAGTCACCCTTCCCTGAAAATGTTACATGATCACGATGGCACGTCAAACTGAAAAATCGACAAAAATGACAACGACAACAACGATGGCGATGACACCGACTACGACGATGACCATAACGACGGGAAAAACGACATCGACAATGGTTCAGGTGCAATGGAACGCCCACGCCGACCTGCACTGGCCACGCGAAGAACGTGAAGCCGTCTTCAAAAAAGCGACAAGGTAGGGCCGTTTTGGCGCGCAGTATATCTACTTGTCTCCCGGACGACCCAACGACCCGAAATCCTGAGTCCAGAAAGAGGCCCAGTACTTGGATGTGTTTAGGCCGCACGAATCGTTTCATCCCACAACCATGAAGTAGTCAGATGTAGCAGATTAAGATCATTTTCTCAAACGAAAAGGCTTTCGTGCAAGTTTGTACTCGTGCTTGTGGGAGGAGGAAATGAGTGGCCCTTTGTTCGTTCGGTGATCAAAGGGTTATGGGATCGACCGTTCTGATATACCCTGACAGGTCAGGAGAGGTGTCTGGAGCAACGCTGATGAAGAATCGTGCGGGATTGCGGCAACGCTCCTTACTGAGGCGTGCCCACGCAAACGCAATCCACACAGCAGCAAAGCTTGCCTACTACCACTCTTGTATTGTATTCTCCCTTCGAGGTCACCACCGTCGCATTCTTTCCTCCCCCTACCCTTCCCCGCGGGATGGAAATTGCTGTTTGATTCTTTGCTCCATTGCTGGGGAAAAGGTGCTACCGGGGCTTTCTCGATCTCGATTCGGCACCGGCGGATCGAACGGTGGGTCGACGGGTGGTCGTGATACAGTGCCTAGCTAGGATAAGAATTGCGAGGAAGAGGTCCCTGTGGGAGAGCCGCTCCACGAACGCGGCCATCGTCATCCAGAGAGCGTACAGGCGAGTGAGCAAGAGGCACGAGAGATGAGACATGGAAGGCGCCCACCGGGGGGGGGGGTGCTCATAGGCGTGCATGCCGTAGTTGTTAGACCATTGACCTGGCATCCCACGAAAGCCGGGACGGAGCACGCCGGGTTTTCACCCTCCCGGGGTGTACAAACATACTGCAATGTATTGTACTATTGGGCTCCGGAAGAACTCCTTCCAACCCTCCTGATCAAGGCAGCATCCAAACTATGGTGCGTCCGCTTACACTCTCCTCCAGGCGTGTAAGCGAAAAGCGCGATCCAGAAAAAATTTGGTCTGCACCACAAGGCATATCTCGTTGTTCTGTTTTTATATTCATCTTTTGGTCTCGGCGTCGTTTTCCTATCACCAGGCAGTACTTCAGAGTCCGGTCGTCCCTGACGAGGGTGCTGCAGACTCTCACCCGTCGACGATTCGCGAGGCGCCGCGGGGACTACCTGGCGAAAGAAAAGCGCTGCGTCATCGCCGTCCAGTGCGCCTATCGCTCTCGCAAGGCTAGGCTTGCCGCTGCCTACAAGCGCGTCATCAGGTATTTGGAAGATGACGTACCATATATAATCGTACCCGTAACTCCTAGAATGATCGAAACTCTTGTTGCATGCCATTCTCTCCTCCGGCCAGGCTCGTCGCCACCTACAGTTGGTTTTTGACGATGTTATATTGTTTCAAAACCTGCGGAATGTAGCGTGGGGATCATGGCATGCACGATTTCTCATCCCGCCAAGCTGGCCGGCCGTCGCCTCCCACAAGTGTGTCATTGCGAGAAGCAGTACTGTAACATTGTGTTGGAAGCAGTACAAAGAGGCACCGACAATCGTTGAGAGGAGTATTCGCATTATATCTCTGGACATATTTGAGTTCATATTCGCCAAGGGAGAGAACAAGAACCATACTGCCCCGTGTACTTCGTTCCTTCACACATGTCGAGCCCCTTTGCTTTGATTAATATGCCGCCTTGTTCTAGGACGGTGAAAGTTAGGGACAGCTCGGGCTGTTCGGACCCTCTGTATGAGGCGAGGAATTGCGTGGTGAGACGAAAGTTTACCACTGATCTAGACTTCGTGTTTACAGTAGGCGTTCCACATCGTGTTCTTCCTTTTTGTTTGGTGGTCTTGCGTGCTTTCTGGCTGAGGGCCGCGCTTCCTCGATGTTGACAATCGTCTGTCGAGGGAGAAATTGTGGTGCCTGGGCATACGAAATATCAAGGTCCACGATTGTGTTTTCCCGGGCCAAACTGCCGCGCGTGAATTGAAGGAAAGACAATATCAACTGATTTGTGGTGCGTGGTGTCTGCCTTTCGGGTACTTCTCCTTTCTCCCCGCCACCAAGTTTTATTCCACCAGGATATTCTTTCCTCAGAAAAGACCCCTGTATTTTGCATCCTGAGACAACACGGAAAAATTAGAAAGATCGATGCAAAACCCACTCGCCTCGTGGGCTAGAGTATATCTTGAGTGAGCTTCATCCTTCGTATTTATTTGATCCTGACATACTTTTATTTGATCGGGATCAGTCAGACGATCTCCTTTTTCGCTTGTAGGCACACCTGCTGTACGAAGAGGAGGTACTATCAGATATGACAATAAACAGCTGACACGTGCATGTTTACTCTCCTTCAGATACAGCAAGAAACAGCTGACATGTGCATATTTACTTCCCTTCATTCACGTGTGTTGTGTGTCGTTTTTAGGTGCTTGATCCGTCGGACGAGGGTACCCTGTGGTCTTCGCCCTACGGAGAGGTGAAAGACCAATGGATCACGTTCGACCTGGGCGGAGACTACCCCGTAGGAGCAATACGCCTTCTGGCCATGGCGAACACGACAGGCCCGAAACTGGTATGTACGCCATTGCGTTCATCAAACAATCCTGTGTCTTGATACCGTGGAGCTCAACATCTCGAGGCCCGAGATCTGGCATACGAGCATGAAATATGATCTCTAGTTGCTACTCATGGTACAAGACGGTATGATTGATCGCATGTAGTAGCGTTCGGTAATGTGTTGCCATTGTGATGAGTGACGAACGGTTGTGCGGCTTCGACTGGTGCATGTGCCTTCTCCCGACCGGACGGCCTGCCGTGCAGCTGCGGATTGAGTGCTGCAAGACGAAGAAGCAGGTCAGGGCCGGAGAATGGACACTCGTGGGTTCTTTTCGAGCCGAGAACACCTCAGGTATGCATTGATTCGGTAGGTAGGTGAGGATGGGGCAAAGCGAAGGAGACATTCAGAGGCCCGTTTTCACTCAATTTACTTTGGGCGTTCGTGTGGCGCTGCCTCACGGCTTACGTAGTGCAGCGAACGACCTCTCCCGCTTGCTCTCTTGCCCACACACACCCTCACGCACCCACTTCCGCCTGACGATATGCCTTACGACGGTCTCTGTCCGTCATTGTCACGCTACTTCCGTCACGCGACTACCCGACACAACAATGCGCTACCAACGGATTAGTATGGCAACAATTCGAGATTCCGAGACGGCTGGATGCCGTGAACATCACTCGCCGGTGGAAGGTCACGTTCGTGTCTAACTTCGGAAACACTACGGCCGTAGCCGTCAACGGCGTTCAGGTTGGTTCGTGGCACGTGCTACGTGGCACTGCTCGCCTATTCTTTGTCTTTCTTTGCCGTGAACCATTCCTTGTTTCGTGCCACGAATGATAATCTATCGTGCGAATGCCACGCGACCCTACGGTATGTCCCAGCAGGGATGCTTTGGAAAGCAGGCCAGATTCCCAAGTGGACCACCGACGAACACCCCGTCGCCCACCATGTGTTTGAGCAACCTTTGCTGGTTTTAACTGGTTTTGTGCTTCGTTATTGTAACAAGAACTGCCGAGGGCGAGGGATGCTTGAAATCGGCTAGTCCGTCCCATTTGTTTCACGTATTTAGTATATCTCGAATGGATCAACAAAGGTCATGCTGCTCCTCTCTACTCTACCACGTACGTACGCTGGAGGTACCACACCTTTCGTGCCGAGTGTATCACCCCCCCGCGGCATTTGACAACTTTCTCGTACTGCTACATACAAAACTTTGTTTGCTTGCGATCCAGTTTCTTCTGGCTAAGGAAGAGTCACCACAGGTGTTGAGCCAATCCCACTCGATGGTTGTAACGCCTCCTCCAGTGGGAAAGGATCCAGATATCATGTCGCTCCATGTGGATGGGACCGCGTGGCCACCTCACCGGTGCGCCAGTGCTCGCCTTCGTTCGCACCAAGGGGTTATTGACCAAAGCAATCAAGCAATGTACACGTGTTTGGACGAGAAAACTGTTCATACGCTTCACGTGTAAAGTTGTTGAGCTTCATGTGCCATTCTGTGCATGACAACAATAAGCACCACCAGCGGAACGCATGAGTTGTCCGTTTTGGCCGAAATACACTCACCCAAGGAGTATAACACAGTACACGGAACTATGTTGCTAGCTGACGATCTGCTCAGTTCACTACTTACTGCGTTCATTTTTCCGAGAACCGATCCCATAACCAATGTTTGACAAAGACAACACCAAAACGCTGTTGTCATGCACTTTAGTCCGAGGCTACCACATACCACAAACTTGGTAAAGTGAGTGTTGGAACGGCTAAATTTTTGCAATTTCTTGAAATCGCTTGTCTTGAAGTCGCTAAGGCATACGCGTTGGCTTCCGACGACCCCACTGTGTTGAAAATCACCTCCTTTCCCCAACACAAACACGATCCCCACATTTGCTCGGATCGCGTGATCAAAATATTTTATGCCATGAACTAACAGGTACCAGTGGTATCGAAACGGACGGCCGCTGGAGAACGAGACGCTCCCAAAGCTGGACATTCGCCTCCACACGCCCCCGACGATGGAATGTCGCCCCTTCCGATGCATCCACTGCAAGCACGCCGCGTGAGTTTCCGAGCTATCTTTGCTCACAAACATGGAGAAAGGGGTTGAGTGCGTTTGCCTTCGCTCACCGCCCTTTCCATATCAACCCCAGTACCACAAGGTTATGTGCGAATCGGAAGGAGCCGTGTTGCGTTTAGTTGGATAGGGGGAGACGTGGACTTAAAGATGTTATCCTTCCACCAGTGGGCTATCTATTTGTTCGTTCCGCGGAAACTTCTAAGGATCAAACCACGAACAGGAGCCGTTCAGCCTAGCTACCGACAGAGGACATATTTTAGGCACAGTTGAGAACACGTGGTCTGTCTCTATTAAATTAGACGTCAAGCCCTCCCTGATCGCAGTCCAAGCCAAATCCTTACCATGACCCCAATCGCTCTCTCTTTTCTCCTGGGACCAACCGCTGACACTTAAATCGAAAAGAAGAAGCAGTCCTGAGCTAAAAAATGCCCTACGGTAAGTGACGCACGATACCTCCCCCCCCCACGTTTGACGGTACTTGCGAATTTAAAGAGAATACCACACAATGTGGCATTATGTATGCCCACCTTGAAACCAGTGCGTCGGGTAGGATGGGATGGCGCGGACTGGCCTCACACAGCCAACCCCAGTCTCATGTTTGGAAACTTCTCGTGTCATCCCAATGTAACCTTGATCAGTACCCCTAACCCTTACAGGTTTGCATATCCCTAAGGCCGCACGCTCCAAAACTAGAACCAAAGGACCTCGTCGGATCCCTAACCCCAACCCGTGCCCTGACAGCTGACACCGAAACGTTATCCGAACAACAGGCACGCCGTTCCCCGCAACGCCGCGCGAGTTGTCTGTGGCAACTGCGACAACCCTTTCGTCTTCAAGGAGTACGAGGAAACTTTCGCCGCGCGCTCCGCTTGGGAGGGAGTCGTGACCGCCCTGGAGGCTGACGTGAGGGAGGCGGAAGTGGCCAACGATGAGGCCATCGCGGATCTAGAGAAAGCTCGGCTCGAGGTGAGTGCATTACGGCTGTCAGTCAGTACCATCAACAAAGAGGTGAAGCGCTGCAAGAGGTGGTGCGTGGATCGAGATGAAACTGGTTTAGGCTTGAAGTGAATCTTCTTGCAGTCAGGTAGATAGTGAAGGTATAGTGTGGTAGTATGGGTCAGAAGGGGCAGGAATGATGCGATTTAGGGCGTTGGAAGAGGGGAAGATTTGCCGAAGTGAAGTCGCGCGCCAACGCCATGCGATATGGAGACTGGTACATCTGCAGATGACTAAACGACTCACCCTTCAGGCCACGGAGGACAAAAGTAAATGTTGCTGGGTTAACATAAATGATCAGGACGGAAGGAGGGGGAGGGGAGAGGAACGAACACCACCCTTCTTTAGTGCTTTCAATTGCCCGTATCATATTGTACATACTTCCGAAAGCCTATCTATCTGCATTTGTCACCCGTGCGGTACACATGCCTGGCCCGTGTTGTAAGCGTTCGAGTGCTTCGTTGACATCCACGGTCTTACTCCTTCAGGTGACTCTATGCGAAGCAGAGAGCAAGGAAAAGTTTATTGTGGCGAAGGCTGACCTAACTGCCAAGACTATCGCGCAAAGGGATTCGGACGAACTGCTGAAAGCCGCACGGGAGGCAGTAAATAACAAGCACAGGGAGCTGTTGAAAGCGGCCCGCGACGATCCCTTGAAGGTAAGTGTGCGCGGCTCTCGTTGTTTTAGACTGCAAGGAGTTGGTTCAGTGCTTCTTGGTACGAATTGGTGCACGGTAAAGGCTTGGCGCAGGCGTGTCACAAGCATAGTGCAATAGCGTGCATAAAATCAACGACGTGATGGAGCTCAGACGCTAGTGGGCCCTTGGTTTGCGGGAAACAGAAAAAGGTTCGCTGGTGAGCGTGTGTGCCATAGTTCCTCATCACAGGGGGGCTGCGTACATCTCCGTTGAATACAGTCAGTCACCCCCACCGTTACTTTCGGGGATACTTTCGAGGACACCAATGGTTTCTGGTCCTCACCTTTCAGTCGTCTCTGCGCGTCTTCTTGCTCAAACCACGAACCGACCGCTTCCTTACTCCAACAATCCCCTCTCTTGGCCATCAACTTCCTCCCCCATACACGTTGCTTCTTACCCCATCCCCTCCCCCCCCCGGTGTGTACCATCGGGGTTGGGTTTTTGTGGCTTGGCAACGACGTTGTAAAACAAGCCGATCGCTTCGTGAGCTCGACGACCAGGTTACTGCTTTTTTTTTTTGCGGTAACCGTAGTGGTGGTCTAGTAGATTATGTTGTGCGGGGTCGAGAACGCTCACTCCGCACAAAGGGGATGATCGCACCACGTTGTGTTAAAATGGTCAAGCACCCTCGAGGCGGTTACACAGTGCTTATAACTGTCTCTGGAAATGGAAGCACCAGAAAATAAAATAAGTCATTCGCAGCTGTCATCCGTTACAAGGAAGTAAGCATAAGATGCCGAACACCCACAGCAGGATGCAGCGCACCGCGCACCCTCCATGCGACTCGCCGAATACCTCAAGGCGCTTGGCGCTTGGCGCTGTGAGAGCCTGGTCCGGTGAGAACCCGGCGTGCTCCATCCCGGCTTTGTAGGGATGCGAGGTCAACGGTCAAACGACTACGGTATGCACGACTATGAGTGCACCCTCCACTCCCCCCCTCGCTCCCGACCCCCACCCCGCTGCGATGCAACAAATATTTAACACACACGCACACCTTCTAACGGATTGACGGACGGAATCTCGTCCAATGTACTTGTATCAAAATACGCCAAGATCCGGCATGACTTCGAGGGCTTGTACGAGTGCCGGCTCTCCAACATCAGGGGGGGCACCATCCTGCGCACGGTCTCGTCGTACGGCATCTACGTCTTTGCCAGGGACCCTCCGCCGCTCAGGCTTAAGGTTGGCTGTGCTGCTTGGTTGCGAGCACCCAGCCCGAGGTTGGCCTAGCAGATTTTGTTTAGACCGCGCCGTTGTGTACATATGAGGGGTGGGTGGGGCGAGCTTTTGCTGTTTGAGGCAGTGTACGCGTGTGCGTGTGTACCGTGCTGGAAATCGGCTCTTGTTGTTTCGTTTGGTTCCTTTTCCCCGCCTGCAAGCTCGTTTCGACTGCGGGGGTTAATCGTAAACCCACATACAACAGAGGAGGGAAGGGAAGGTATGCATGGGAAGCGGAAAGCAGCGACCACTCAACCCTACTTAACATTTGAACAAAGAGAAAGTGACGGAAGTGTCAAGCGAATGACCTTCCTACAACCCCCTCTGCTTCCTGGAAAGATGTTCGGTGGGTGTAGGAATCTGATTGGGGCCCTCTCGGAAGGTAACAGGGGAGCTCACGCGGTAGAACGGATTGTATGTAGTCAGGAATCAAGCAATAGAAAGCACCATCAGTCGATCGGTCGGTCCTTCTCACTTTCTCGTCGATGATCACCTGCAAATATTGCACAAACTTCTTTTTCAACAAATACGACAACACAAGGTGCAAGCCTTGTACGTCCCCAAGGAGAAACTGCGGAGAAGGTACTGGCCCAAGTACGCCTGGGCATTTGGATGGTTCACGCACGGCAAAATCGGTGAGGGGTACATACCAGGGGCACCAATCTCAGGGTCCTCGCCTACAGACACCCGCGTGACATTGCTCGTGTTAGGGTTTCTTCTCTGTTTTTCTGGAGTGCATGCGACGCCCCCACCCCACTTGTTAAATAGTGCATCGTACAAGGGGAGGGCCAGACGTGGAAATCTCGCCAGAAAGGAGTAGGGACCGATGCCCGTTTTGAACGGGATGCGTGTTCATCGTTGAGTGACTAGGTAAGGGAGAGAAAATCGTCAATGGCCCTCTCTACCGTTCTCCCCGACAGTGTTGACAACTTGCGGGGGTACGAACGCGGAGCTAACAAGACAAGCGGGACAAAGCTAAACATAGCATCTCCGAAGCATAGGAAGAACCAACGCACCGGTATTGTCGGCCGCGGTCGTATGGAGAAGTAACCAGAAGGTTAAACGTCCTCACTTCAGCTTCTCCTTTCTCATACACCCTTCGACGATGTTCGACAACGCTTACCACCCCATACATATTGCACACCGCACACACTGGCATAAAAACGACCTTGGCTGCGCTTTGCTCACAGGCGGGGACGTCCTGATCAAATTTCATGACGGAGCCGTGTACGACGGCCCGTACGTGCTGGAGGCGTGTTTGAGCCTGAGAGGAAGCATACCCCCGGGTGAGCGAGGGTTGACTCTAAAACGCAACGAAGGTGACGGTTCTTCACTCAGATGGGGCACAAACTCAAACACAGGTTCACGGAAGTTGTAGCGGATTGGGAGTGTTCGAAACTGTGTCGTCGTGAAGACGGCCACAACGTCTAGAACAACGACGATGGCGACGTCGAAAACAACACAACCGGCAACGTCAACAGAACCCAACACCGATACCCCGTCCCGCACGTTTCTCCGTCGGTCCGTGCAGAGGCGCGCGAGCCAGGGCATTGGGGCACGTGGATCACCAAGACCGGCTGGATCTACGAGGGACCGTTGGTAGACAACCATTTCGACAAGGACTGCGTGACGGGAGTGTACCGACTCACCTCCCCCGGTGGCGAGGCAAGAACATCAAGAAGGATGCGAAATAGAAGCAAGAACATGATATCAATGCTTCGAAAGAGCGCTAGCGTAGGAGACCGGGCGAAAAGAAAAGAGAAGAGGGTGGACGCTCACTATTGTAGACCAGCAGGTAGATCGAGAGTACAATCGGCTTTTCAACCACAGGGTACCAAGCGTTTCTGTTTGCTGAGAAAGGGGCGGGAAATAGACAAGTGATCAGTTTGAGGTTTGAGTTTCCTCACCTGTGTTAGGGGACGCCTATGACGAGTTACTTACTCCAGAACTCTCCACAACCCCAATCTTCTTTTCCAAAGGTGTACGAGGGAGATTTGTTGGACGAAAGGCGGCACGGGGTGGGGGAATACCGTTACGCCGACGGCACCGTGTACAGCGGAGAGTGGCACAGGGGCCAACGGCAAGGCTTCGGAACGCTTATCTCCCCGACCGGGGCCGTCTACGAGGGTACGTGCGTGTGTACAGGGTACCAGTAACGATTCGCGCAGAAGCTTTTGTTTCCTTGATTCACCTTGCCCGTCGAATGGGGGGAGTACGGTAGGAATTGGTCGCCTTCGTCAGTAGTCCGGGCCGGACCTCAAGCAAACACTGGTAACTCCTGATGCCTTTGGGGAATCCATCCGTAGTTCAAAGATGACTTCGTTTCGTGTACAGTGGGTTAGCTACGACGGGCAGGGCGAGAGCTTCCTCTTTGATGGTGACCCGCAGAGGCTACAGAAAAGAAGCGTCGACGGAGCTCAGATACAAACATAAAACAACCAGCGTCCCTCTCCACATATCCCGCCAAAGATTTCGCCGATTGCCGGTTCCACTCGGCACCCTCTGCGTAATCCACAGTGTGACCCTGTGGTTTCTCCATGCCGTCCCGTCGGGCTTCGGGAGTGGATAGAACTGTCACAATGTTTTATGCTGAGAAATATGGTACAAAAAGTGAGAGACCCGAAGAGTTGAAGATATTTCTACTAGAGAAAAAGAGTGTTGCTTACATTCAAAGAGTGCATATTCGGCGGTCGAACTACTAACGCAAAACAAGAAACCCTTACGCCTCCGCCCCACCCGCCCCCCTCCATTATTTCCTAGTCATGACTTTACCGCGCCGCCTGCCTGCCCACTACGTTTCCTATGGTCCACTTCACATGCTGTCATGCCACTATTACCCCTGTGTTTCTCTGATGGGCGACTTTGATCTCTGCAACAGGAGATTTTGATCACGATCTAATCCACGGGGAAGGATTGTGGAGTTGGCCCGATGGGTCGTCTTACGCCGGGCAGACCAAACATGGCGTCCGTGAGGGAAAGGGGCTCTACGTCACCCGGATGAGGGTAAGCGTACGTCTCTCTGTATAAATCGCTTTCTATTTTTTGTTGTCGGTGTTGGTGTTATCGTCATCCCCGATTCTCAACAACACAGTAAACGAGTTGTTGTCATTTTTCTCATTTGAGCCTCTGTACTATAACTGTCATTGAACTTTGAATATTGTGGTGATATCCGTCGTTTTTGCTGTTTTCAGGACGCCTTCTTTGGCGATTTTGCGAACAACAAGCCAGACGGCGACATCATCGCTTACTACTGCGATGGGTCCAAGCACACCGGGACATTCCGAGAAGGGACTCGCCACGGGAGAGGCACGGCGCAGGAAGAGAACGGCAACCGTGTGATCGGCACGTGGGACAAGGATAAGCGGGATGGTGTCTTCGAGGTGGGCCGTTGGGTTGTGATGGCTTCGGTTGGGTTAGATTGGGTTGAGTTGTGTAGGACTCTGAATTTCTTTGGGCCGGTCTGTCTTGCGCAGCCTCTACGATGCCTTGTTGAGACGATGTATCAAGTTTCGGTCGTCCTGCAACGCTCAACAACAACATGTACAGACCAAAGCTCGTTCGTGAGAGAGGGTGAGAGACAGAGAGAGGGGAGAAGTGAGCTCGTGTGGTCGCGGTTTCTTGGCAGCAAATCAACGAAATGAGTGCAAATTGCACGCACGTCGACACTTGGAGTAGACGCCTCGCCCAAAACCCTTTCAACTTGACATGTATATTGAGTACCTCCTACACACCAGGCAACCTGGCAAGCACTACCTCGTTGACTCGGCCGAGGGACCACTGGCGTAACACCCCACGTGTTCTCCCTCCACGTATGCTACGTTGCTAACTACCACCACGATGCTGCCAACGCCGAAAATGTTTTCCAGCTGAGGACCCCGGTATTCATCTCGGAGACCCAGGCACATGAGGACGAGATCCGGACTGGGTTGTGGGAAGCGGGCGAATTTGTGGAGGTAAGTGAATTCATCCATTTGAATGGAGCGGGGGGAGAGAGTCCTGGTGGGCCTCGCTCTTTCTTGCTCCTTTTGCCCTTCCGTGTGCCTGAAAGTGTTGCTTCTCTTAGGCACAGTCGAATAATTCGAAGGAGTTTACAAATAATGCTTGATACCCGAAATGTGGTGATTAAACTCCATTCTGCTCAAACGAAATGTATGGACGAGCACATATCACAAAAAAGGGGCAGCCCGCGAACATGCGGGAAATCGCCAGGGCTTTCTGACGATCGTGTAACAGAAATCTTCAGCCAGTCGACGAAAACGCCAGAGTAGAGAAGCACCAGCTATTAGGCAGGACTATTAGTAAGTCACCTAGTTAATGTGGTTTCTTCTATCTCCCTCGGATGGAGTGCTATGAAAGCACCCCACAAAATGTAAAAAAACCCAACTTTCCTTTCCTATAACTCCGTCACTCGTCGTACCGATCCCGGCCGCACGAAACCCGATCCCGCCTGAAATGGAACGATCCGCTTACTGCGCTTTGGAACGACACGACACCGCTAACATTGGAACGATTCGTCTGTCTCCAACACACGACGTGGCATGCGGCACACACTCCACCACGCGAGCAGTGGCTGTCGCCGCCGGTGTACCCTCACGCGACCAAGCAGTTCTACGAAATGTTTGAGAACGACGACAGCCAGTACGACGGTGTCTACGCCATGTTGGTGAGTGGTGTGGAAGGATTCACAACATTTAAAATAATTGTACTGTGATAGTCAATGTCACTGTGACTGCTGTTACCATCGTTCGTGCGTCTCCATGTTGTGTTTCTGTACTCTCTTCTTAACCGGTGGGATTGTAGCCAGGCCAGTCACAGCATGCGTAGTATGAGCGTCTAGAGTCGCCTTCGGTTTCCGACTCGCCACAACCACAATACAGCCTGCTTGCCCCCTTACAGCGATGAAAAGCGTGCTTGGACGTAAACATGCGCAGGCTTGTGTGGACAAGAACAACCCAGGAAGACAACCGACCAAGGCAAACAGATGACAGAATTGTGGAGGAATTGGTCAATTAAGAATATCTCCTCCCGCCAACCCCTCGTCTATCGGTCTTCTTTCTCTTCCCCCTTGAAACCTGAACCCTGCTAGCGGCTATCTAGAACGGCCGGGCGTGTCCCTTCCGCCCGACCACGCGGGCGACTCTGCCCAGCTGGTGCACAAGTGTACGATACAACGCACCACGCTAACCTTTGTGCATGAAGCAACAATCCGCCAAACCCCCTAGTCTCCCCGGCCCAGCCCGGATCAGCCCAGCCCTGCTGTACACTCAACGCAACGTGACGAAAATAACCCAGGTGGCGAAGAAGCTGCCTCACCTGCCGAGAGGGGTTGACCCTACCAACCTAAGGGTCATCGCCTGTGTCCATCGCATCGCGGCTGAAGCGGGCGCCCTGTGTGCGTCGGACAGCATCGCGGACGCCAAGGAACAGGTGCGTGCTTGTGCAGGGAGGTGGTGAGGGAAATATGCTGGCAAGAGGCACATAAAAAGAGGGAGAAAGAAGCAGGGGGACACGTGTGAAGATAACGCCGAAAAAGAGAGAGGGGCGATGAATTTTTCTGGCTGCGCTGAGAACACATGGCGTTGAAAGTACGCACATAAAACAGACATATAGTGCCAAAGTTCGTGCCGGTTCGTACGCATGCACACTTGGGGCTTCCTCGAAAAGACGAGGATGTTGTCCGTTCTGGGGCAACAGTTTATGGCGTGGATACTTGAGTGTCGTCCTTGCTCACGAAGACCAGTTTCCCGAGGGCGTGTTTTGTGCTGCGTCTCCGTTCGAAAGGTTGGAAAGCTGGTTCCCTCTCCCAGTTTGCCGTAGGGGATCTTGGTTCATCACCGAGTCTATCCGTGTCCACCAACCACCACCAATGAACCTCCGCGGGACTTGCACAACCAACGGACTTCGAAAAGCGTTGCGATGCGTATTTCTCGAGGCTCACTATTCCGGGCTAATTGGTGCCACAATGTTATTTTCGCGGTTCAGGTTAAGGCCGCTGAGGCACCGCACAGTGCAGCGGTGGTCAGGCTCCAGTCCGCGCAGGCACTCGAGCGCGTGTGTGTGCAGGAACATTTGAAAAAGAAGGAGGCGACAGATCACTTGGAGAGCAAGCTAGAGGCGCTCGTGGTAAGAGATCAGGGGGAACGTCCACTATTCATTCATGTATATACCCATCGTGGCGATGTGATTCCCAACCAAGTTCCCAAGAAAGCGAGTTTGCAATTTGCGTGTCAGCATGTCACTTTCGAAACCTTTTCGACCTAAGCACGAGCCCAAGGCTCTCGTGACACGTGGCAAAGGGAAGCCCTTTTGCCCAGAGGATCAATCTCCAAGTGATGTTGGCCCACAATAGTCTAGCGATGTCAGCGTTCCGAACGCAGTATTGTTTCCAAGGACGTAAGACCGGATTGTGACGAAGGGTTTGATATGCATGCCTTCCAGCTTTGTGACACGTGACTCACAAAATGCTTCCAAGCGATTTTCAAACTAGACGTTCGCTCTCTCTCTCTCTCTCTCTCTCTCTCTCTCTCTCTCTCTCTCCGCCTCCCTCGTTGTCCCAAACACCCCGGTACCCCGCTCGCCCACACGCACACACACACGCACGCACGCAGGCGAACCGAGACAAGCTGGAGGCCGAGGTAGAGCAGTTCTACACAGACGACCCCGGCCGGACGAGAGAGCTCTTCCACGAGGCCGTCGAGCGGCTCAAGACCATAGAGGGCTCTGAGTGGTTCATGGTCCGCAACTACGACAAGCCGCCGCCGGTGCTCGCCACGCTCATGTCGGCCGTTTGCACCCTGGTGCTTGTGCGGGACAGCTGGAAGAGCGCCAGGAACATGGTGGGGTCCTCCGTACAGAACATGGAGGCAAGTCTCGGGATGGCATGTGGAAATGCGTTGGTGAACAAAGTGCGAATCGGGCGTTCTGACTACCTCCTGTCGGAGTAAGATGTGACGAACGGGCAAAGGAACGTGGACAGGCGTCAGTTTCAAGAAAAACGTCGAGCCCCCTCTCTGTGCTCTCTCTCATTCCCCCCTTTTGATCCCCTCGGAGTAGCCAGTCGAACGATAATATCCGAAAAGGAAGGGCTCGTTTCTACCATGCCATTGTCTATAGGGTGCTCTCGATCGGGGAGGCTTCATGGGGAGTTTACTAAGTGCCACAATACACAAACTATCCGTCTAGCCTTCTTTTGCGAACCTTCCAAAGCACGTATCGTGTGAAGAATAATGATTTCAAAGGTGAACAAGAGAGAACTTTGATTGGAATCTTCTGGATAGTACGTGGAGGACAAGGATGGAAGCTTCGCATCGTATTTTGGGAATGTGTGTTGCGAGTTGGAGTGGGAGGGCAGAGAGAGGCAAACATGTAAGAAGCAGACCATGATCTGGCCGTGCGGGTGCTCCAAACTGGCAAGTTGGCCATCCACCTGCATTTTATCCGGTTCGGCCCCGATCTCTCTCCATTCCACTCGTGTCTCGCGTCGCATATCAGAGAGAACGAGAAACACGCTCGGCAAAACTGAAACGGAACTCCGCCCTACGCTCTCCATATCCCCTCTTCTGTCTATCACATGTGTGTACATCAATCGCAAATTGGACAACACGGACCCCCTTGTCAACTGAAGAGATAGAACGAGGGAATAGACGTGAAGTGGAGTCCAGCCCCTGCGAAGACATATGCGATACAACAGTGACTCATCCTTCGACACGCAACGAAGGCAACACTACCGACAGCGTGTCAAGGACAATCACACACACTTTCCCCAGTAATGAAACGCACACAAGATACGTGGAATCGACGTCTCGTTGGCTGACCGACGGGCCGACTAACTAGCCCAACATCTGGGGTAACAATTATCATGCTCTTGTTAAAAAAAATCTTTCAGGAAGGAGACGAGGAAGCGCTGGCGGTCAAGTACGATTGCAAGCTGGTCTACCGCCTCGAGAACGAGTTCAGCCCCTACACCCGTTGCGACGCCCAGGACGTGATGCTCAAGCTGGCGCAGTTCGTCGTGGACCCCCGCTTCCAGGGCGGAAGCCTCTTCCTCAAGCTCTACGGAGACGCCCTCGGCCCCGTCGCGGACCTCGTCAAAACGGCCTACAACTACATCATCAAGGCCGCGGAAATCAAGCCAAGAAAGGTAGGGCTAGTAGTGGTAGATTGGGCAGAGTGTCTGCACACAAGCGTACGCTTTCGAACCTAGCTAAAGGTAGGGTTAGCGGTAGATGGGGCAGAGTTTACCGCACAAAAGCTCGAGCAACGGAATTTCGAAACTAGCTATTCGTCTTCAGGTTTCTGGTCGGCAAGAGAGATGGTGGTACATAGGCAAGCGCGGGACGTTGCGGTGTGCGTTTGTTGCATGGTGACCTGGGTGGGGGGGGGTCGAAGAGAGAAGGCACGAAGGTTTGATTAAACGCTTTTCCTCGAAGCTCTCCGGATACTCTGCCCCTCGGTCCCACATTGCTTCGACCAAGACCAACCACGTTTTGCAGCCAGACCGCCACTGCCAGGATTGTTGAACACTGGGTTAGCAGCGGTTGGGCCCACCATTACACTAGAAACGCTTAAAACTGAAAGTTTTTACGCGGCTTGCACAAGTTGACGTCAATAGGAGCTGCTGACCGATTCGATGATTTGTTTTTCGAACAACACCGAACTTCCACTTAACTGCTTGCTGTCTTTAGACGTGCGCGAAAAACCGTTACCGTTGACGCTTTGTTTGGTTTATTGAAGATGGCCATCGCTGGCGTGGAAGGGAACATCACCTACACGAGCACTTGTCTGGAGCGAGAAAGGCAGGAACAGGAGGAGCTACACAAGCAGGTACCTGTTTTCCCGCTCTGGCCAACATATGCTCGTTGTGGTTACGCATGCTAAACTTCACCACCGAGCCGTTTGTTTTCCTGACAAAAACGTGGATGAGAATGCAGCATTCATGGAAGGCGTAAAATCCTTCCGTTCCGATTCTTGGCGGAGTACTTCCATTTGTTCCCTTGAGTCAACCACTAGCATCGCCGGCCATTCTTGTGTACGACTCGCACATCAACAATGCTCAAAGGAAGATAACAGGGTGGCGAGACATCGACTGCATGGACGGCGAAACGAAGGCGTCCTCCACACTTTTTCTACAGCCGAAACCTCTATATTGCTGGCGCTCAAGCGTTAACCGCAAGATCAGGGGGTGGCCTTCAAACTCGAAGTATCCCCCTTCCCGTCTTGAATGCTTCCAACCGTGCGTGTCCACCCTTTCTTTGCATGATTTGCCACTATTTCAGGCTCAAGACAAAGTGGCAAAGAGGGAACTGGCAGAAGCTGCCGCGGAGAAGGCCCGCCTGAAGATTGAACAGGCCAGGGCTCTGCTAGAGGAAGCGAAAGCTCTCGTCACGGTTTACGTGGTAAGGATGACGACCACAAGGGTGTGAGGGGAGGAGGGGGAGGAGGAGGAAGAGGAGGAAGAGGAGGAAGAGGAGGAAGAGGATAGAGCTGTCAGCAGTGGTAGTGTGTTGTGCATCGTTTAAAACGATCGACGTACTGCTTTTGCTGCGTACGTGGCCAGACCAACAGACGCATACCGGTTGATGGGCTTGTTGTCTTGGTCGACGTACCAGCCTGCGTGTGTCAATAGCTGTGTAACGGCAGAAATAAACAGTACAGGCGGATGCTGAATCGACGTCCATTTCTAGAGTATAATAGTCGACGGCGAGACCAATTCTTCCGTTTTAGCAATCCCGCGTGTGATTTATTGCCATTACGATGCTGACACTTTGACATGGATCGCTGCTGCTGTCCAAGTCCGGGTCCGTCTGCTTGACTATCCCTATTCCAAGAAATCCGGAGCCCCGCCACCCTGTCTACTCTTGTTTGGCACCGTCCCCCACGAGAGTTGCGTCGACATGGCTCTTCGATTCCAACACGGTAATTCGCACGTACTGGAAGCCCCCAAGAGGCACACGTTCATCTTCTCCTCACAGCACGATGCTGTGTCTTACTACCTATTTAATACACGCGGAAGAATGCAGAGGCCTACGAATTAGGACGTCGTGTGTGACTTTGTTGTCGTGGTCGACAGGCGCCGAGAGACGAGCTTGACCCATACGAGCGGCTGGAGATGGAGCTGAATCCTGAGTTGACCAAGGTAGAGGTCGTGCTGGAGCTGCTGGGCTTGCAAGTGGTCGAGCGGCTAAAGAGAGAAGCCCCCACGGAGGTTGCGGCGTTCAAGGCAAGAGTGTGGTGAATTCGCGAGCTAAACGTACCACCAACTCTTCCTCGTACGCTGTATTTTCGTGATAAAACCGAGGCATGTTTGCCTCCCAGACGCTCTTCCCCACTTACCCGTTGTGTAGGTCCCCTTGCGGACTGTATTCGGTGCCACCAGGTTAAACATACAGCGCCGCCGAAAAGTACCGTCGCAAGTAGAAATTGAACTCGGCAACAATAGGTCCTTGCCTGATTTTACGAAACCTCTTCCAAGGGAATGCCCGTTGATCGGCAAATAGCTCAATCCTTTGTGGTCGGAAGGAAAAGGGATGTACGTATCCAAGCACCCACAACCCACACTCACACAATTACCATACTTCCCCACTCGCATCGCTTGACCCCTGTTCCCTGCGCGCGCTTCACCCCGCTCGATATCGTCATGCAAACGGCCTTGTCTGATATTGGCTTTTCTTCGGCCGCCGCGTTTTGTTTCTGCAGGTGGAGGACTACATTTCCGCCCAAACGGAACAGCAGATTCTTACATTCATTGCGGAGGGGGGCGTATACGCCTTCGCAGCCGGTGCCGTTAAGTGTCTGGACGACGCCAAGGTAACCGGTCTGACCTGGCCTTGTCTAGAAGACGGAGTACTATTCTTCTGGTTTTTTTTCATGATCGGGCCCGGTTCAGTCGGACTGCATCCGCACAGCGAAGACAACGCCGGGATATTTCCAGAGTATCACGGAATTCTCAATCAATAGGCATGTTGTGTGTAGCGTTCAAAGGACGCGAGGAAGAGTAGCGATCTGTTCTTATTTGTTGCTGGGGGATGGGGAAAATTCAAGGTGTCGAAGACGGGTCAGACCTTACGGATGAGGAAACGAGCTCAGGTTGGTAGCCACGGAATCGGACAAGGACAATGATCAGGTTGATGGTTTCAGAATTCGTTTACGACAACGGCGCTGTTTGGCTTCCACGCACGCCATGGTTTCGCGCTTGTCTCAAGGTCGCAAGTGCCAAGTCGGAGATAACTGGCAAGTGCAAGCGCAGCATCAACGCCTGTCTGCACGACAAGCCACCGAATAAGGGCGAGTGGAAATCTCTCCAAGGGGCAAGAGTGAACCAGTCACACCTCGAGACGGTGAGAGCTAAGAGACTCTTTAGCCCCTCACCGCATTGTCAATCCGTGTGCTTCTCGGACCTTCTGGGTTGATGTTTCGTTCTTAGATAGAAATTCGTCCAAGTGTTTTGTCAGTTTTTTCATTCAACGTTTTTAACAGTACCGTTCCCAAAGAAGTGATGAAACAGAGAGTGTGACTGGTTTGGAGACGGCGAGTCGGTCCTTCCCTTGCTAGTAGTTTGTGTCGATTCTATCCAGGCGACGCTCGCTTTCGCTAAGATCCATTTATTCCCCGGCAGATACAGGCGTTCCCGCAGGCAAGCCCCAGCTACGTTCAGCTCGTGTTCTTGAGACCGGCGTTCTCCAATGAACGAGCTGGCTTCACGCTTGACAGACAAAATTTAGAATAGCAATGGGTGTCACAAGCAACAGAGGAAAGGGTAAAAGAGGGGTTTGGCGTTGGCTCTCCCGCCGGAGGCAGTTGGTTCAGTTTTTGATAACTCTCCCGAATATTTCTCGCTTTTATGATTGGCATTGACGACACGGTGGCCTTCTGGACTACTATTCCCGCTAATTCTTACGCAACACGTCAACAACAATTTTTTCCCGTTACGAAGGTCTTTCTCTCCTTTGCTGTTTCGTGCTGCGCTTGTTGCCACGTTTGTACCTCTCTCTCCTTGCTGCCGTCATCCCGTGTTTTTCTCTGTCTCTCTCTCTGTCGCTTTGTGTCTCTCTGTGTCTCTCTGTGTCTCTATCTGGCTCTCTCTCCCTCCCTCTCTCTCACCCGCTCCTCTGTATTTCTTATGCTCTCTCCGGTCTCCCCCGAACGTTCCACAATGTACGCCACCTCCATTATCTTATCATCCGCATCATCTGTGATAGATGCTGGAGGAGAAATGGGCAGATTTCCTGCGTGCCGAAGCTGTGAAGGAAGCGGTCACCAATTGGACGGAAGCATTTCCAGAAGAGGTATGTTCGAAACATGGTTTTGTGTTTCGGAAAGTGGTTGCGTTAGGCATGTGCCTGTGCGTGTGCGTGCACTCGTGCGCACTGCCGACAAGCTCGAGGTAGTGCACGATAGTCGCTCGAGAACACAACATGTGGACTATTTCACGCAGAGCTCCCGGAGGCGTGTGCGCGTATCTAATGCTACACGTGGTGCAGATGAAGACTATTGTGTGCATCGGGGTGATGATATGGCTGGGGGGCAGGTTAACCCATACGGAAATGCTGATGAAGGGATTTCTGTATCATAGTGTCGGCGATAAAAACGGAAGGAAAATCCGAACGGCCTCAAAGGATGAACTCAACCTGTCTTGGCTATCCAGGAGTGTCCCTCCCTTCCTCCCCCAACCCCTACCTCAGCCGACGTTGGTGGCGGTAGCCAACCACGGCACTTTGTGCAAACCATGAACAGGCAATGGTCGAGTTACTTAATATCGTGAGGGGTTGGGGGGGAACCACTGCTCCATGCAAGGAAGGCGATCGCATCACATATGTGGCACGTGTGCGTTGAGGCACCCCACGAGACCGCTACGTGACACATGTTTCGGTATTTTAAACGCTGTGTGCATGTACGCGTGTGCGGACGTGTAGGGCGAGGCGGCGTACCAAGCGCTACTGTCCGTGTCCAACAAGGCGCTGTCGGAACTGCGGAAGGCGGAGGCGCAGCTGTGGTTGGACAAGTGCGTGTCTCATAGACAAAAAACCAATACGGGCAGTAGTGGTACTGACACCCCAAGAGTGGCATGTATCTGACATTATGTAGGGTGCGTCGATTTCCGCATAGGAGGTCATGGAGCCTCCACATTGAGGGAGAACCGGGACTCATCCCCCAGAGACTGCGAATACCAACGTGACTGTTTCGTCGTCGTGCTTTACGAGAGAGAAATGTCAAAACAGGCCGATTAATTTCCTTGAGGTTTGAAAGCCTATTCACCGGTGATCTCAACAGTTCGGCTCGTCGTGCCTGCGGTCGGCCCGGCACGCTTGTTTTATCTATCGCTATCGCTCACAATGCCATGACACAGCAACGAGGATCAGTCCGCCGACATGCAGTGGACGCTGGCCAGGCAATTCGAGGAGGAATGGCCAGAAAACACAGCGGAGGGATGCGTACAGGCAAGTTGAACCAATGCAAACGCTACCCAAACGCGATGCCACAAGGGTCTGGTATGGTGACCTTCGTTGAGAAGAAGGCAGATCTCGCAACAAGCACTACAAAAGGTCTGTTTTGTTATTTTCCCCGGTCCGTGAAGCAGGTTGGTCTCACTACTTGACGTCTTGCCGTTTCGGATTTTCTATTCAGCTGTGGTTCCGCGAAACGATACAATCTAACCGGAAGACATGTGGATAGGAGTGCACGTCGGGTGGCCTTGGTATGAGATACCGATGAAGAAAACCAGCGTGAAAACAACACCGAGATTCCTACCTGATTTGGCAACGGTAGAGTCGTGCATTTTCTACGTGTCGTGTTTGTAGAATCTCGAAAGTGGTTGAAAAATGGTGGGAGAAGTAATAACAGCAGTAGCGGTGGGGGGGCGATCTTCCCGGCAAAACCACACCCGCTAGCTCTGCTTATTTCCACACTGAACGTGGCAAGTGGTGAGAGTAAAGAGGGGGAGGGGACAGACATTTCCGCTATTTTACGATGCCCAACATGCCCAAAATCACTTTCACACAAGCAAATAGCATGAGATGCGATGCACCTATAACCATCGTCTACGATGGCTCTGCCTCTCCTCATCTCACCATGTGACAGGTGCTCGACACCGCCACCTATGGGCCGGATGTTCGGCTCCAGGCTTCTTCTTGGGAAAGGGTGAGTAAGTGGGTGATCGGGGAGCCGAGGCAACAGACACCCTGATGCAGGTTGTCTGCCCCCCTGGCAAGAGGGAGAAGGGAGGATTTTCGCCGGTCCCCGATTTCTCGACGATGGGAAGGGGGCCAGCGCGAACGAAGACCAGGCTCCGGGAAGCCTTTGGAAATCCACCCCCTCGATACCACCCTCCTCCTTTTGGGCTTGGGCATTGGGCACGTTGTGTTGACAAGGGTTCCAGCGGTGGGGAGAGATCGCCCCCTCGGCGAACACAGGGCAGACCACGAGTGTTTCGGGCGACGTGCTGTTCGCGCTCAGCGTTGTTTTGAGACAGAATCACAAAGGCGCATTGCGTGAATGTCACGCATAGCTTTTCAGAAACATGCGCGAACTGCTGTGACGGGCAAATGTACACCGAAAGAAACGGCGACAAGGCCAAGATGTCCGTGAACGCGTGCCTGCCGTGTTGGATCCCAACGTCGCTGGGTGTAAGAAAGGGTCGGCATCGCCTCAACACGCTCGGCCTTGTTACGACCACTTAGTTCCGGCTCAAGCATAGACATCAGGTCACGTTGGTCGTCCTTCATCGCCGTGCTTATCTTATGCTCTCCTCCCCCACCCCCCGCAGCTAAACCTCGACGCGGTAAGGCAATATCGTGCTGACACTCTGGAGCGGCTCGCGAACGACTTTGCGGTCATGTGGGAATCAGAGGAGCAGGTACGGCGGTGGCATGAGATACCTCAACATTGAAAACTATCATTTGGGCCGTGTGTCGATCGTCTGTTTCGTAGAAGAATCATTTGAATATGCGCTTGGATTCCTTCGCGATCCTTTGAGCAGTCTGTTCCCCTTCAGCGTCTCTGTATCTTCCTCGGCCGCTGTTGCGCCTGGTTGCGTTTTAAAATCATCACTGCTCGTTAGGTCATACACCACAAAGGAGGCACCATTAAACGCACAGACAGCTGCAGCGAATTGGTTCGCTGCAAATCTGGTTATCGGTGTGGTCGTTCTCGCCGTCGAAGTACCTTTTCTAAACTCAATTGAAAAGAAAAAATAGGAGGTTGACCTCGATTTCAGCTAACTCTAGCGGAGTGGTCGCTGTCAGAGAGAGACAAAGAGGGGGTCGCAGCTAGGATTTGCAGAAGATGGGGGAGGACGGGGGTTTCATGAGTTTTTTTCGAAACGAGAAAGTGCTAAGCATAGTGCTAAGCATGCAACAGGCGAAAACATCCTTCTTTGCACCCTCGTACACACCACGCCAAGCATACTCACCTTTGATTATTGTCTAGTCATGCTGCGTCATCTGTACCCACATGGTTGCGTGGCGGTAAAGAACATGCACGCGCGCTGATGGTGATAGACCCAACAGATGGGATGTCAAGAAACCAGTGCGCCCTGAAACCCCAACTTCGTATTTTGGGCAGCTCTTTCTTTACATGTGCGTTGACAGCCTCCCTCTTTGTGCTCATGTATGGCTGGCTCCGATTCATATCAGGCGGCTCGCGAAGTGATCGCCATCCGAGAGAGGCAGGACGAATTCCAGGGACCATACGCCGAGGCCTGGGCATCTTTCCACCTGGGGGCGATGGTGGCTGCGGAGGGGGAGGCAGCCAAGTCGAGATCTGAAGCCTTTGAAGACATGTGGGTGCATCGCAAAAGAGCTTGGATAAACGAAACCAATTCACACCGACAAAACGCCTCGTTTTAAATGAATGCATGTGTGGAAACCAGGATATAGGTATCTTCCCAGGAGTAGGGATGCACATACAACCGTATAGATCCGTGACCCCAGGAACGACGTTCTCGAGGTCTGAAGATCTTTACAACGAAAAGACCCTCCGTCTGCTGTGACCAGCCGGAGTGTAGAAGCGAGCCCCTGAAGCTCACCCTCACCTTTCACCCTAGCAAGGATGACTAACGTCAGCCACGCTTGGCCATTCCTTGCCACATTGCAATAAGAGCGAAATTACCTCCGTTGGTGAACGGTTATTCACCACTTCAGGGACCTTTGCTCATAACGGAGCAAGGGTATTCTCATTGGCGTCGACGAAGTCGAAACCTGACGGAACATGCTGAAAAACAAGCTGCGAAAAACAAAAAGTTGCCGCAGTATCCAGTGTTCAAACCTGGTCAACAAGTGTTACTATACAAGTCATACCAGGACACTGACGGACCAAATCCGAAACTGCTTTTGCCATGGAGAGGACCATTTATCGTTTGCTCTCAACTGTCACCGGTTGTTCATCGTGTAAAACGAAGGAACGATGCGCGGGAAACATCCGTACACCTCGCCCATTTGAAGCAGTATCATGCACGGCAGAAACCTCCAGCACCACAGTTTGAAAAACTGGCTGAATTTTTCTTGGGGAAACAAATTCCTTTGCCGTCACTGAAACAAACCGACGCGAATCAACCGAAAATTGACCGATACGTCGTCGACAAAGTGGTAGGCCATAAAACGGGCCCAGGGCCGAAAAGCCAACACAACTACAAATATCGGCTGCGTTTACGAGGGTACGGCCCAGAGTCGGACCTAGTGTATCGAGCAGACGAGGTACCACAATGTCATGAAATGATTTCCGCATACAGATCAAAACATGATCTGAGCATCGCGCTTGCTGGAAAACATTCACCGGAAAAGCAGATCCACAAACGGAAACGCGATAGTGACGAAAGCAAGAAACCGAGCACGAACAAACGCGCCAAGCAACAAACGTCGAAAACGGACTCGACATGTAGCAAACAGAGCGTGAAAACAAGTACTCAGCGGAAAAGCAAAAGAGGACGAAAGGCGAATAAAAAATATGTATCAAAAATGCATGACACACGGTGAAAGGAATAGCAACCATCAAATTGGAAGCTATACCAGCGGTTGCTTTGGGTCAACCGCTGGCAAGGAAAGTCAAGCACACGATTCTAGATGCTGTTTGGGGTCACAACCAAATAGTATTGTAGATGAGTCGTGAAAACAGTCACAAACTGTTAACGCACCGTGCGCCTGTTCAATTCGTCCAGCAATAAAACAAATTGCACGCCCAAGCGGTATGTATGGTCAACGCGAGCCAAACACCGCAGCAAGTCTAAACCTTGAAAGCAAGGGATTTGCAAACTGTCTCAAAAGACAATCATCTGCTCGTGAATGATAGGGGACACGAGGACAATCACCAATCAAACAGGTGTCGTCGAGTTACTTACAACATAGTGACTCCAGAACAATCTATCACGTATGAGTCTCGGGTATGTGCGGATCCCCTCGTTGTAACGTAACGCGTGTTTTCTCAACACGGCAGCGATGAGGAGGGGGAAACAATCATATTCACGAGCTGTGTCATACAACCAGGAGTAACCTAAATCCAATTCCACTGGCATTCCCTGATTCACTTGAGAATGAGCGCCAAAAACCATTTCTTTCATAAAGATGGATTTTCGGCGAACAAAAAGGGGGGCAATGTGGAAACCAGGATATAGGTATCTTCCCAGGAGTAGGGACGCACATACAACCGTATAGATCCGTGACCCCAGGAACGACGTTCACGAGGTCTGAAGATCTTTACAACGAAAAGACCCTCCGTCTGCTGTGACCAGCCGGAGTGTAGAAGTGAAGCTCACTCTCACCTTTCACCCTAGCAAGGCTGACTAACGTCAGCCACGCTTGGCCATTCCTTGCCACATTGCAATAAGAGCGAAATTACCTCCGTTGGTGAACGGTTATTCACCACTTCAGGGACCTTTGCTCATAACGGAGCAAGGGTATTCGCACATGCCATCATTTGAGTTGGAAACGTTTTGCCAACAACCCGTTTATTCCATTCTGTACCAAACATTAGCACCCGACCCAATCGATGCATCGACTCGACCAAGGTACCCCGACGATACCGCAACCCAAGCGGTCAAGATCGTCGCCACCCAAGGCATCAACAGCAGCAGCAACAACAACGTCGATGCCGACAACGCCGCCGCCGCCGGCGATGATCCGGGATACGAAACTACAGCTGCTGCTGTTGGTGCTTCTACCGCACCAGTGCTAGGAAACGATATCCCGTTGCCGTTGCCGGAGGCGCTAGCGTGGTGTGCGCTGCACGCGAGAGCGGCGATGATGGCCGAAGATTCTCTCGCCGTACAGCTCGCAGAAATTGATTCTAAGGTGGAAAACACGTAAATTGTGGTGAACCGTTGACAATACAACCCGGTTTTCAGTCAGGGCCATTGGCAAACAAGGGAGCACTGAACTATTTAGTTTAGTACTCTTCCAGCGTCATATCCACCCATGAATCAATTTTGGACCAGTCTTCAACTTGTTTTTCAGGATCACCGTACGGAGAACCCGTCTAGGTTTGGAAGATGCTGACGACAAACATGGCATACCTGAGCGTCAATCGGTCGAGGTCAATATCGAGAGTTCCGGGGGGGGAAGGGAGTACGTCCAGAATTACCTCCAATTTTTCATGGTGTAACCAAAACCTGGGAGGCAATTGTTCCTACGACACACTCCTCTCTTCCTTGCGTTGTCACTCACAACACACAACAACAGCGCATTGATATCGCCTGTGGTCCTCTTGTCCTAACGCCTACTAAAACATTCGGATCTTACAGGCCGCGGCGGAACAAGAAATTTTGGAGCGTAGGCTCAAGATCCTAGAGGACAACAAATTAGCGGAATCAAACGCACGAGCAGCAGAGGGAGAAGGAGAGAGAGACGAAGTTCAGGGAGGTCAAGACGACTCCGACAGCATCAAGAAGAGGTCTGGGTCACCGTCGACACAAGAATTGACCCATGCTACCGTCACTGGCCGACAGAAGGAGGAAAAACGCTCGCCCCCCGCATCGCCTACGGCAGCCGCAGCCAGCAAGGGAAACAAGAAGAACGCAGGCGGCGTTAAAAAGAGCAAGGCACAACAGGTGATAGTTTTTTGGGACAAGGGAGAGAGTTATGATACGTGCTCACCTCGGCCACCGTTTTGTCCCACGTGTCTCACTCCTCAAGGTGTGTCACAACAGCCCCCCAGCCCGTACCGTTACCGTGCCTTCGAATCCGATTGGGTGTTGCAAGAACCGGAGGATCTATCAAACATATTTCCATCCCAATCCCCGTCCAATTACCGCGGTGCCAGTTTGCCGAGAAGCAGGAAGCCGAGCGACGAGCGAAGGAGGAGGAGGAGGAGAGGCAGCGGCGGGAGGCCGAGGAGGCGGAGGAGGCGTTGAGGAAACAGCCCAAGAGCAAGGTGGACCAGGTCAGGGGCCTCTTGACGAGCAAGCTGTCGGAGCGGGTCGAGCTCTGCGAAGAGCTGCTGGTGCTGCTGAGAAGAGCACAGAAGAAGGTGCGAGAAATGACGGGGAGAAAGTGGAAAAATAAATTGGTACTGGTAACTTTGTACGCCTCGCATCGGCATGTAGGCCTGTCGCAATCGGGATCGACTTTGGGAGGAAACACGAGGGTCACCCGTAGCGTTTCAGACTAACGGGATCCTTCTTGCTTTTCCCCCGCCAAGAGACGCCAATGAGAATCCCCCTACTCTGTTACGAGAAAGGGTCCCTGAAGTGGTGAATAACCGTTCACCAGCGGAGGTATTTCGCTTTTGTTGCAATGTGGCGAGGAAGTGCCAAGCGTAGCCGATTGTCTCGACGTAGCTAAATGCAAGAGTTGGAAGGTGAGAGAGAGTGACGAGCGTGGGCGCCTTCTGCCGCTATCTCCTCATCTCCGAGATACACATGACTAGTCACGGTATTCTGTGGATCTTTCCTGGCAATTGTCTTCGGACCATAGAACAGGTTCATGTAGTCCGACGGTCCTTGCCGGTCGCATGTGTGGCTTTACCTCTAGAAAGATATATCCTGGTTTCCACACGCCGGGGGATTCGTTTTATTGTGAAACCAGACCATCGAGGGGGAGGTGCAAGGGAAACAGTCCGAACAATCATTTTGTATTTGGCTGACCAAAACCTAACCCACGGGGATTGCTGTAGGTACCTTCGCCAATGGTCGCTTTTCTATCTTTAGTTGTTGATCGATTGCAACAAAAATTTGTTTGCATCTCGACTTGGACCTTTTGGTGGCGATGAAGCCTATTTATGCAGACCTTCGCTTGTGGGTTGGTTGTCGAGTGAGGAGAGAACCACGGAATGCGCATGTGCGTACAGCGACAATACTGTAGGAATCGCGCGCATGTCATCTGCTTCTGCGACGGGGCCCAGTGGTGATGATGTTTACAGTATATCTCCAAAACCTGAAGATACTTCGTTGAAATGGGGCAACACAGACGGGCCAAACGAAATCACGTGGACCCTGCCATTGTGTCACACTGTACGCATACGTCTCGCCTCGCGAAAGGGAGGGCGCGACAACACTCCCGTTGGTGTGCAGATTTGTTGTCGCACGGATATTTTTCGCGTTACATGTGCCTAGCGAAGAGGCAGGCCGAACGAAGGCGGAGGCTAAACGGGCACGCTGCGTATTTGCCGTCTTCAACTGAACACTTTATCGCGAGAGTTTGCATTCCAGCCCTCCCCCTTCCCCCGCCTTCCCCCCAATCCCTCGCCCCCCCTCCCGTAGCCGCCAGCTCCGTCATTCCCTACCCAACCAAAGTTTCATCTTACTTTTGATCCGCGGGACAAACACCACAACAACACGGCGGTACCCCTCCCCGTTTCCGACACTGCAATGGATAAATCACAGGCGCTGGAAGACGATTCTCCCGAGAAGGCATTGGCCGACCCGACCACCCGTCCGTCCGAGCGGCAGGGCAAGCACGACCAGCTGCTAGCAGACCGCCAAAAAGCTCTGGACAGCATCGCGCAGAGGATCGCCGAGGCCGAGGCGAAGGCCGAGGAGGCTAGGATAAAGTTCGAGGCGGCCGCCGCCGCCGCCGCCGCCGCCCGTGACGGCGGTGGGAGGGAAGACGGTGGGGCGGTTGCGCCGGCAGGCGGTGCCGGAGAAGGATGGGCGTCGTACCTAGACGAGGAGTCGGGGAAGTACTACTGGTTCAACGAGCACACCGGGGAGGCCTACTACGATGAGGGCGATGGCGCCGCCGCCGGCTGATTGTCGTGCCTGTGCAGGGTAGTACTTGTGCTAGTACCTCGTCTGTATGTTTACTCTGTGTAAAGACCCCTTTCCAGGTACTGCACCTCTTCTTACGGTAGGCATTAATCCGTCAAATTGCGATATTGTCTCCGTGTGTAACATGTTTGTGTGGAGAATGCATCACGAATCACCGGTTTGAAACACGTCATGCGGGTGTATGGTGTCTGATACCTACCTGTGTTTGTTTGCAGTAGTAGTTGCCCCGTCGTGTGTGCCTTTGTTCACAAGGCATCCCATCCGTCCCCCATGCATGGCAAGAAATTGGTAGCCGTAGACCATTTGTTTTTGAAATTCAAACGAAGCCTTAGAAAGTGGGGCAGAGAGGTCAACCAGGGAAAGGGAAGGTTGACCCCCCCACCACGTAGAACACGAACTCAAGCACCTCAGAAGGAGGTGGAGATAAAAAGACAAACTGTCATATCCATGGCCCCCCGCTGTGTGACCTTGGCTGGCGTGTCGAGAGGCGGAAAACTAGCCTCCCGAGCAGACGGGATGACAACGCAACACACGGCACAGGACACCGACAATAAAACTGCATCTCGCCAGTTCGGGTGCAAAAAAAAACGGCTGACGAATCAAGCGTTACTCGAGAACGGCCAATTCTCAGTGATGTTGGCCCGCCGTGCTTTCGAACTGCCGTTTCTTCGTGGTGCGCTGTTCATGCGGTACGCGCGCAACATCCCTTCGGATCCACACGAATCGGATCCCGCGTATCAGCCACCACCGACAACGCTCAGGGAAGTACACAGATCGCGCGATCAAAAGTTCCGCCCGCGAAAGACAACATATTTCGCGCACGTGGGGCCACATAGCGGTCTTGGAGGGTCGGAACCTTGACTCAAGTCCGCGGTAAGAGAGAAACGCGCGGTACCAACGTTGTTTCGACCTAGCGCCCAAAATTAAATGACAACCAAATGTGGGTTTACGAAAAACATCATGTTCGTCATGTTGTCGAAAGTGAGGTTTCACAGCAGTTTTTCCTCGTTTTCTTAGGGGTCAAGGGAACGGATCCTTGGCTGCCACGACGCAAAGTACTGGAAGCCCCTTAGCATGTCGCCGAAGAGAACACTGAAAGAGCAAAATCGTGACGACGCTCGTTCAGGAGAAACTGAGGAAATACTGCAGCGAGAGACAAGAAGAAGGTGGTAGCGTTCGGCCAGCGCAAAGAATAGCTGTTCCCGAAAAAAACGAGTACATCATGCCGTGTAGCCGTGCAAACTGCTTGCGTTCTCCCTGTTTCTGGAAGCCCTGCCCACCAAAGCTCGACGTACTCGGGAGATATTCAGCTTTTCAAGCAAAGGGAGATGCCTTCCTGCCGCCCTTGCATTATCGTCCCACACCCAACCGGGTACGGCAGAGCATGGACGCTAGTTCGAAGGTTACCCAATGCTAATGTGCGCCTATTTAGTGCGCGATCACTCGCCCGAAATCAACTCCGACAACCAAGTAGACACCACCACATGTACCACCCAGGCAGCAAAAACTACCCCTGACCCTAACCCAAAGGAACCCGGCTTCTTGATACGACTAAAATATCTGGTTTTGGACACAACAGGCGGGTACCGTGCGCACACCAATCAACACCACTACACCACAAAACATCACAGAGACCGAGGTAAAAAGCATATTACACGTTTGCCTACATACATACAATACAGCAGTACGGGTTCCTGCGAAGAACCCACAACGAACGAACTAACGCCCACACTCCACGTCTACACACAAAACAAAACGCTGAAGAGGTGTAAGTGAGTTCTAGACTCAACCGGTAGCTCACCCTATCTAAGGTTCAAGTCATCACGCATGTTTGGGGCGTCGTCACGACCCTTGCTGCTCCAAGCTATGATCGAAAGCGCGAGTCAGTAACCACGGGTCAAGCGGGGCGAAGGTAACCCCGAGATGTGCGATGATGAGGAACCTGACGAACTCATCGAGGGCGACGTAGATCCAGTCGTATTCCCACGAGAGGATGAACACGCTCACCATCAGTAGCACCTGCAGCAACAATTGTCGCACGTGGGGTTAGTTCGGCTCAACACAAAACCATGTGGCAGACAACCAACACCATGGGTACGGGAGAATATATCGTACGGGACATCGCAAAAAAAGCACTTACGGGAGGGAGATTTCGTTCACCGTCGAGGATCGCCGGGCGGTGCAGTGCAGGGACCCTATTCTTGACAGTAACCTCAACGCAATCGGAATCCGTTTCAATACCGACTGGAATGGAGCCAGGACAGAACCGTCACCCCGTCATCATGCGCAAATGATGAAAATGCTTCCCTCCAAAACATCAGGTAAGCGCACCCCTCTGAAACAAAACAAACAGTAAGAGTTTCCCGCAATTATCTTCCTTCGACTGAAAAGTATGGCTACCCATGATATAGGATGCAACAACAGGCAAGCGAGCGTTCTCGAAACGAAAGCAAGGGTTAACAGCGTGCGCGACGCAGCGAAACAACAAACAAAATCCGACAGATTGATACAGCTGGATTCCTGTGAGCGAGGATACTCTGGTTACCGGAACGACATACATCCGTTGCAGAAAAAAAAAACAAGATCGTGTCAGCGTCGCTCGCTCACCGTGGGCATGAGCAAGTACGCCAGGAAAGTCATGCGGTAGGACAGATACCGGCTCAGCTTGACGTACTCGAGGGCGCTGCTGCTCGTCCAAGGGAGCTGCTTTTTACAATCAATCGTACAACGAGCGTTTGTGGTCAGCGTATGCACATACCCATACAACAGGGGGCGCGCAACGGTAATTAGTCCAAGAAACATCCACCGATCGGGGCACCGTTGGCCGAACCCACAAAATATCACACACGACGTGCATGGGTATGCATGAAATTATATGACGTAACTTCGACTGCGCTGAATGGTTGGCCGACTAAACAAATGATGTACACTCGAATGCCACAAAAGGACAAGAAAACGCAAACACTCTCCTTAGTCCGCAGGGGGTGGGGGCGCAGATGAGACGCAACCTTGTGCGTACATATACGTGTGTGTCAGAGAGTCGATCCTTATCCCGACCCCACCCGATTCCCTGCGCGCCAGACAGACTGTCTTCCGCACCTACCACACCCTTGCCCTCACTACATTACGTATGTACCTGTATACAGAAGCGGATGTGCGTGATGTTGAAGTTGATGGCGACGACGGTGGTGAGCATCACCAGGCTGCGGACGGCGTACGCCATGAGGCCGACACCGCTGCACCAGCTGGAGGAGTTCGTGTCGTCACAGCTGGCGTCGATCAGGGAAACGCCTGCATAGAACCCGATGGTGATTGTTACCTGGAAGAATGGGGTGGTACACGGTATGGATACACGGTATGGATACACGGTATGGATACACGGTATGGATACACGGTATGGAACAAGGGGTGGTGGTCGGAATCGGGTGGAATCGGGCTGTGCATCTGCGCAAACAAATGAATGACAAAGGCGCAAAGGTCTTGCGTGGTGTGGCTAGGGAACGTGGGGAGAAGAGGGCGGTGAGGGGGAGAGGGGGAAAGGGGAGGTAGAAACATGGAGAGGCAGGACTAGAAAAGAAAGAGACAGTGTAGCATGTGAAGTAAAGACCCACGCATCGAGCTACAAGGATACAGCGAGACGTGGAAGGAGGTTAAAACAGTCGCGAACGAAAGATGGAGATGGAGTGGCCTGATTCTATTTAGCACTGATTTGTTTGTGACGATAGTACGGTACGACATGAACGAAAGACAAACAAACATCGCTCGTTGGAAACGCACTCTCGGGCTAGTCCCTCCAAACAAGACAAGGGTGGTGGAAAGATCGGAATCAACACGCGACGAGCGGGCCAAAATCAACACGATGACCATGCGAACAGTCTGCCCGGCACTCGGGATGATACCCTCGGGAATACGTCGGCAACGTGGCTTTGCTTTTGGACGCACAGCTAGAGCACTGCTGACAGTCATCGCCCCTTCCTCAACCAATCAGGAACTAAGGCATGGCGTAAAACCACACGACAACCATCTCCCACCCAGCCGCCACCTCTAAGTAAACGTACAACAAAGTTACGATGACGATTACGACGACAACGACGGCCGCGACGACGCCAGCAGCAACAACAACACCCAAGCGACTCACCAACCAGCCTTCCTTGGACCGAAGGGAGGGCCGTATGAACCCCCAGCCGAGGCTGAACAGCAGCAGCGTCAGCAAGAACACGACCTGGAACAGGACGATGAACAACACCACCGCGGCACCAAGCAGTCGATCCCTGTCCCCCTCCCCGCCGTGAACGCTCTACGAGCGGCCCGCCCCCACGCGCGCGGCCGCGCCGCCCAAGATATGACAATGCCGTGCAAGGCCGGGACGAGGCGAGTGGTCATAGCGGCGGCGCAACGGGAGAACACGAGAACGCGTCGTCATTGTCTGGTTGGTGGTGCGTGATTGGCGCACGTTAAGCCAGGACGGCAAACGGGATGGACGCCGAGCACACCCTGTCGGCAAGTTCATCTAGCCACTCCGTGCGTGAGTTCCAGCGCTTGCTCTCGGTACGGAGCAGGGTCGTGCGAGACAACATGCTCGTCGTGTGGAAAACATGTGATGGTCGTGGGGATGGCGACCCCCAACAAGAGCACCCACCTGTCGGTGGAAGTAGATCGCCCGAAGGATGAACTGCACGGTCTTGACGACCACGCACGCCAGGCACAGCGAGTGCACGGGCAGCACGTGGCGACGGAGACGAACCATCTCGCCCAGCCACGCCGCGGTCAGCGCCACGTACACCACGCTCATCAACTGAGAAAGGGAGGGAGGCGTCGGGAGAGGGGGGAACGGTAGAGAGAGAGGGAGAGAGGGAGGGATAGAGAGCGGTGTTGGATGGACGAGCACAAGGACAGCGCCGAAAACGCCTGCTTGTTGTATAAGGACAGGACGACGGTCATATCAGAAAGATAGCGGCGCAGGGAGTATATTGGTGACGCAGGACAGCGAGAGGCGCATACCCAAAGGAAGCAACAACGGCAACAACAACCAAAGTGTATCGTCCGACTCGGGAGACAACCCACAAGCGCAGGGACGAGAGAAGCGACGAGGGCGACGCGAACGTGACGCCGAAAGGACGCGCGGGGTGAGCACAACAACGCTAACCACGTGAACAAAACTTGCGTGTATCATCACGTGTGGACCCGAATCCGCCAACACGGCATGAGGGCGAACCAAGGGACAAATGACACGAAAGAAGAAGAGTGAACGCATTGCACACGAACGTCAACAACAGGCAACAAGAGCGGGGGGGGGGGGGTGGCAGCGCGGAACGAGTACACGACACCCCCCTAAGATACGCACGCGGGAACAACAACACTACCCTACGCGAAAAAGAAACGTGAGGCACCACACTCACCGTGTACAGCGCGGGGAGCATGGCCTGGTTGATGGGGAGGTGCTGGGTGAGGTCCCCCTCGGGCACACGGTTGAGGAAGGTCGACGTCACGTGCCCGTAGAAGCTGCCCCCCCGATCGCACACCACGAGGTACGGGGAGTACCGGTCGTGGTGTGCGATGGACATGTTGAACGAATCGTGGCCCGTGATCTGCCATTCACGTTCGAGTGTGGCGCACCGGCGCCGTGAGTCATACATCGAAAACCGGCACGACGAAATAAACTGCAGAGAGCGCGAGGCATGTACCGTACGACGATATCATGTAGAAACCGGCACCAGGAAAAAACGCGAAAGCGCAAAGCATAACGTTTCATGCATCATACCGAACCCGTCAACCGAAATACACCGCAATAGCACGAGCATTAGTATTTGTTGCTCGCTGGCGGTTTGGCCGTGTGTGCGTGCCGTATGAGGTGTGTGAACCGCAGAAGATCGCGTGTGTGTGTCACCGCGGTAGCTGGCATGCAATATATGACGATGTGGCACGCGCCTATATATTCGAAAGAAAAATGAACAGACTATTTACGCGAGTCTTGTACTTCCCTGCGTGTTCAGGCAGCAATAACCACCTTTTTCGTCCAGGTCGTAGATGTCATGTCCGTGCTACATTGCTGTCCACGACGTCGCAATAAGGTGACGAGGTGCTGGACAAGATTGGACTCGCGCACGCTATCTGCCACAAATCTTCGCGACAGCAGAAATGATACCACTAAACCAGAAAACGGCATCGTTCGAATCCTCGGTAGCCGGCACCCCGTCCCACCCTCTTCGCCAAGGCACTCTTCGGACCGTACCGTACGTTCGTACAAACAATACTGGACCAAAACTAACCAAACCCCCGGACCACTACTGCGGCTCGTGCGGTGGTCGAGACACGCTCCTTTTCACTTCCTCACCTCGAAACGGCCGGCCGAAGGCGCCGCGCACACCGGCGGCGGATCGTCCGCTTCCAGATCGCTCATCTCAAGCAGGGTGGTGAAGTACTGAGATGTCATGCTCTCCGCCACGACGACGAGGTAGGCTACGCCGTTGCTGCAAATACGTACAAAGGTCGGAGGCGAATTGAGTCGAGTCCGGTAGGGAGCGAATACCACTCCTCCCACAGGCGCGCCCGAAAAGCTCGGGACAAACGTCTGACGGCTGAAATCCCGCGTCGCCGTTCCTCTTCGCCAACGAGGACATGGGGACGGCCGCATGTCGGCAGTGCTGGAGACTCAAACAGAACGGTCGACTGGCATGCCACTCTCTCTGTCTCTCTCTATCTCTCTCTCTCTCTCTCTCTCTCTGTTGAATTGTCCACTGGCAAACTTCTGTCTGTCTCTCCGTCTCCCTCTCTCTCTGGGTCCCTTTGTCTCTCTCTGTCTGCCTCTGCGTCTGTCTCCGCCTGCGTCTGTCGGCGTGTATCTCCCTCTCACACACATGCCCACACTCTTTTACGTGCCTGCTGTACCGCCCGCGACAGCATACGTGCCTGCTATACCGCCCGCGACAGCAGGGAAGAGCACGAAGGTGTTCACGTTCTGTTGGCTTGGTGCACCCTCACCGACTGCCTCCTTTGCACCTTGCCCGCAATTTCACAGACTATTCGATATGTGGAACTTCGTGGCCGCCTATAGCTAGAATATGTAGCCAGCTGTTGAGGGTTGAGGCGGTGTGTCATGATGGGATAACTATCGATTGTGTGCATTTTGTAGAGAAAGCAACCTGTAGACTAAAGAAAGTACCGCGGTGGTATGCTGTAGATAGATGCTTCACAAAAACAGATGCAAAACGTAGCAAAACAACAAAGAGATGTGCAATATCGACGACATACTGATAGATCACACCCAAACACAAACACATGCACTCACCTCCGCCAATCGGACGTCGGCTCAACTTCGAAATGCATATACCCCCCCGCGGCGGCCCCGAACGCATCAGCCACCAGCGTGGCCGAAACCCCCGATTCTTCGATCAACTCGGTGCTGACTAGCGCCAAGCAGTGTTGGGATAGCATCGCCATAGCCATGATACCGAAAAGGCCACCATAGCGAGCCATACCAACCCAGTTCGGGGTGGAGCGGGTGCTCACGGGCTCGCCCAACCAACTCGCACAGCAGGTAAGTTGCAGCACAAGTCCGGCGGGGGCGCGCAAGTGCGAATATGGAACACACGATACCCCGGAGCCCCTGAGAGCACCGGGGACCTTCACCAACTTTGCTGTGTTGCGTCTTGTTGCGCTTGCGTCTTTGCAGCACCCACAACACACCGCACTGCTGCGCGTGCTGTGAGGCTTGAGACTCTCGACACCTGCAATGTTTTCCAGTGCATCCTCGACGTACAACCTCAAGCGACCCGCACGGTGCATCGCTGCGTTGGCGCCGCAAGAGGAGTCACCAGAAGAAGAACAGCAGGGTGGCATCAGCAGCTCGCGCTTTGTAGTCGGCACGTGCAGCTTGCGGGAACCCAACGAGCTGCACGTCTTGGGATTCCACGAAGAGAGCAACGAACTATTGTGTCATCAGGTGTGTGTGTAGTGTGGTCGAGGTGTGGAGCAGTCGAGGTGCCGCTTTTTTTCGCGGGTGAACTTCACCTTAGAATGGGCGAGGTTCCGCCGCACATGTACAGTAGATGCCCATCCCACTTCGCCGCCGCACATGTACAATTGTAGATGACTTCCTTCCTTGTGTGTGTTCTCTTACAATATGCATACGGAGGTAATTCCGTTTTGTATCGCCCATGGGATAAAACAAGATGACTGCTACTGCAGGTACGGCTGGTCCTTCATTACCCGTAAGCACTGATTTTCCCCATGTATCCACCCTCTTTCGTTCGTGTTGCCCCCCGCCTCTCTGTCATCGGTTCCTCTGTCTCCCCCCGTGGACGACATACTACGCTGTAACAGGCTCTTTCACATCCGAACGAGATTTGGGGAGTTAGCCCTTCACCGACAGACCCTTCGCTGCTGGTAACCTGCAGCAATGGCGCCAAGGCTGGACAGAACAACGGGGGCGTGGGTTTCAAGGTGACTACAAGAGGGTGTATGATGACAGCGGCGGTCTTTGACCGCTCAAGTCTGCAGACGAAATTCGGTATCAACCTTCCGGTGCAAGGAGTCCCGATCTTTAGATGAAGCAACCCAGTAGAGGGCATCATGGAGCAGCGACATACGCGTTGGCACTCGCAGGTATGCTGCTTTGGGGCTGCTGTGATATCGAACGCTGTCGCTGGATGAAAATAACTCCTCACTTCTGGACCCAAACCGTGATATGCTGGTGGAGACAAGTCTCAATCGTTGCTCTTTGTGACAACTACTGCTGGAAGGGTTTTTTATTGCACAGCAGTACTTCTTCCCCAACTGGTCGTATGTATCTCGTGTGTGCTTGCTGAGTGCTGTTTCCGTCCTTTTCGAAACCAGTCATTCCTTGGACAAATGCGTGACTCAAAAAACGTGGCAAACGTGGCAAGTGCAGCAGAGCTTGTTTTTTCTCTAGGGAAAGGCCTTAACGTATAGACTAGTCTACCGCTTCAAAGGCGACCGAGACCGAGTGTGTCAGCATGTCATCATCCACCCCCGACGTATAGAAGCAGTGTAGCAGATTGTTGGGATGTGAACCTGTGTAGGTTGTATCCCTGGCACTGAACACTGTGTATAGAACAGTGTAGGTGCAGAGGCTCACAGAGTCATCGTAAAATCACTTGGATATAGGTCGAAACAGAAGTTGGTTTGGATTGGCGCTTAGGTGGCCGAAAGGTAGAGACAGATGAAGAGTGAGCAGCTGGCGGGCGAACACAACAGGGGTGAGCCGTCCAGCCTGTCACGGGAAAACGTCACACTCGGGCTATTGCTAATCAACCGATAATCGGATAGTCCGATGTATCCCAGTATCCTAGAATATCCTTGTGGACATCTGTAGCTAAATGTAAGCTTATGGCTAGGATTTAACCCGATGGGTGTGTACAAAAATCCGGTCACTCAATACAATTTACCGAAGACTATTCCAGTAATAGTTGCTGGAATCCCATGACTTGAGACTATGTATGGTAGCTTACAGCAGTGCCAATACTGACTAAATACTGAACATTGAATATTCCAACACAGACGCTTCCATACACCGATACATGAACCGTGCGCCGATCTTTCACTACAGGTTCGTCGACAAACGTTACCGCCGCTGTTTGCCACTGGGCGTGCTCTCGCTCCCTTCGACCCTTCTGTCCAACAACGAACCCAGCAACCGACGTCGCTCTTAAATCATTCACAGACGCATGCATGCATGCATAAAACATTGAACGAAACAGGTGAGCCTGTGGAGATTGCCCACGCCTGACCCCAATGACGACCCCCTCCACGAGCACGTCATGGGTGGGGAAAGGGGGCACCCGCTCGAACCAATTGGAGAACCGCTCGCCGAGTTGGGGGGGCTGAAGGCGGCGGCCACGGCGATGTTGTGGAGTCCACCGGGCGGGGGGTCAACGTCATCGCGAGGGGGGGCAGGAGAATTCGTTACGCTAGCGGATGGGCTTTTGAAGCGGTGGAACTTGGGTGATGGAAGGTACGCCCGAAACGTTGTGTTGTGCGCGGGGCGGGTTGCGGTAGTGTCTTTGAACTGGGCAGGATGATTTTTGACGCCTCTCCGGGTTATCTCAACACGACGAAAGGCTACTGCTGTAGATTGCGTTTTTTTGTTCCCGTTCGTTGGAGGTGGATGTATTGAGTGGAGTCTAACACAAAACAACTGCCTGGGCTCAGCTAAGGAAAAACAATGTGATATTTGCAAGAAAGTTTGCTGTGGTCTAAGAGTACCCGGCCAATATCGGTTGTTTCGTTGACCAAGCCCGACCGCCTTGGGCCTCCCTACCGTGCCACAGAGCCGACAACCATGCCGTAGCTTTCTAAGTGCTTCTCAGAAGATGCTACTGAACAAGGCGCTTCCCGTGCTCTTGTTTCGATTGAACCGCTGCATTTTCGTCTTGGTCCGTAGCCGTCGCCCTGTCCAGAGGTATCTACGAAGCGTCCTTGACAGCGGTATCGATCACGCGGACGAAGCCACGCGCACCCGATCGACGCCCCTGTGTCTTCGTCGATCGCTTCGTCGTCGCTTGTGGGCGCACTTGTTGGTGTGCCCTCCAACCGTTGACGTCAAGTTTGGTCAGAGACGCTCATCTGCTGTCGTCCTGTTTGATCTTGGCAATGGCTGACCCGGTCAATCACAGGTTTGAAGAAGCGGGCTCGGCAACTGTTTGTGAGGGCGGCCAGGGCGGCGGCGCCACCGCCGCCGGGCGGGGAGCGCCTGCGGCGGCGTGGGACCCGCACCGCCCGGTGGAGGTAGCGACGGCCGCGTCGTGTAGCGTCACGTGTTGGGACCTTCGAACGATGAAGTGAGTAATATGGAGCTTTTGGAGCGCATCTCTGCGTATGGGATTATTACAAGGCAACCAAGGGGCGAGTACGCGTTACAAGCTCGGATTACTCCCTCCCTGACCCGTGACGCAACGAAAACGGTCTTTGTCCATGGCGCGTGCGGGATTAGGCGTCGACGGCTTCGTTTGCATCGCACTGATTTTCACACCCAGCCACGTATCTGGCGTGCTAACACTGCTCTCTCTTCGTCGCCCACGACCAATCCTCCCGTCTCTCCCGGCGGCCGTGGATCTCCGTAGAGCTACAACCTCGGTGGCCGAAGCGCACCGTTTCGCGGTTCGAGACTTGGACTACAACCCGAACAAGCCCTTCTGCCTGGCCACGTGTGGCGAGGACCGGCTCATCAAGTTTTGGGACCTGCGGAGACCGAACGCTCCCGTGAAGACCATCGTCGGACACGACCACTGGTGATTGACGAAATCGAGCAGCCATCAATCATCCTTTTCTTTCTTATTGCCTATGCATAGTTTCGATACGGATATAAATTGCAAAGGAGAAAATGCCTTTTATGGGTTTTAACGGTTGTGCACGACGTGCTCAGCCCGCTCGGGCGGAGTTTCTTCTCCTTTATTTGTTGTCGCGACGGCAGTGGGTGCCGCAGAAAAAAAGGGCAGGTCTGCAGGCCGTACCTGGGGGAAACAATGTGAAGACCCTGTTGGTTGTGTCGTTGCCGTTGGTATCATGATACTCGTACGGGTCACCGCTTGCTTGTTTGTTTTGGACCCGACCATATATCTGTGGCCCCGCCCTATGATCGCGTCCATCAACGTCACCATCTTCCAGGGTAAACACCGTCAAGTACAACCGTTTCCACGACCAGTTGCTGGTCAGCGGTAGCTCGGACTGCATGGTGCACCTCTGGCGGGTGTCTTCCGTCTCTTCCGCTCCTTTGCTCGAGCCCGAGGACGACGATGCCGGTGGACTCGATGGCGACGCTGGTGGGGACAGCGGGGGAGGATTTGGCGGTGGCAGCAATGGGTCGAAGGGGGAAGCTGCTGACATCCGAGTGAGTGTCGTTTTTTTTTGTGCTAGCTTTTCCGCCTCCTCTCTCTCTCTGTGTCATTCTGTTTGTGTGTCTCTCTCTGTGTGTCTCGTTCTGCGTGTGTGTCTCTGTGTGTGTGTCTCTCTCTCTGCTTGTGTCTCTTCTCTTTTGCGCCTGCTCCCTCTCTCTGTGTGTGTGTCTCTCGCTCTGTGTGTGTGTCTCTCCCCCCCTCTCTCTCTTTCTCTCTCTCTCTCATACACACACGAAGCGTTCCCCATCATGCCAATGCACCCTGGCCATATTTCTCGGGGTGTTGCTCGCTCGCTGCTTGCGCGTTTTCGGGAGTGTGACTTGACCCGACGCACTGCTGCGCGTTATGACGCGCCGGTCGTGCTCCTTTGTTCCCTCGCCCCCCGCACCGCGCCTTCAGGTGCGAACCTTTGACGAGCATGAGGAGAGCGTGTACTCGCTCGCCTGGAGCGCGTCCGACGCATGGGTTATGGCATCGCTGTCGTACGACGGCCTCGTGGTGCTGAACCACGTGCCGTCCACGGAGAAGTACAAGATTTTACTCTGAAAGAGCCAACGATGGAGAACGAGAGGAGAGTTTACGTTCAGCAGCAGTCTAGCGGCGTTGTGCGCCCTTTCAAGTCCCGGAATGGGGAGCGGGATATGCGGAGGAGGGGTGCGATCTTGTTGTTGGTTAGCTCTTTTCTTCCTCTGTTCCGCCTACACCCAGGGATCGGAAAACGACAACAATAACCCGTAGCAATAGGCACCAAGCGGACAACAAGCGCGTGGACTTTGGCGTTAAAGGAGTGAATAGGCACAAGCGGAACAAAAGCGTGACATGGTTGGTGGGAAATTTCCGTGATGATGGCGTTGCGTGTCGCAATGTGCATACTGGTGCACTTTTGGTACGCTTGTTCTGCTCTCGGCCGGTATATCATTTGCCGTTGTTCATCATCCCGGGCGAACTTGGGCCATTGGAGAGTTTTAGTTAAAGTAGGAGAACCGGAGATAGATGGCGACGGTGCGGATAATCCGCACGCCCTGTTTGCGTTTCACGAGGAACATCGCTCTCACCGCGTACCGGCCATCTGGCAGAAAAGACCCCCCGAAGTTTGCGTTGGAGGACCCCTTTTTTTTAATTTTCTTAATATGACACCACGAAACCATCTCCATCATAGAAAAGAGTCTGAGACAGATTAGCAATGGATTCATAGCGTCAGAAAAGTACCTGTATGTCTACGATTTCCCAGACAGCATATAGGGACATCTCCCCTGCGGGTAACAGGCTCAACAAGACAGTTTGGTAGTTGTCTTGTGTGTCTCATATATGTTATGTTGGGAAGGTGCAGATGATATGTGTTAGGTACTGGTCGGGCGTTTTGTGTGTGGCACCCTTTTAGCCATATGGAATGCAATCTTCCTCGGTTTTCAAACGTATGTTCAATGTGGTACGCGTATGTACCGGGTATTTGGGTATGTATATGTGTGGATACATTTCGGGGTATGTTTGGTCGTTGTAAGAAGAATCCGAGTGTACCAAATGATTTCTGGTTGTTTCGAATCAGCCCACTTTTGCCTTTTGCCCCTAAATTCTTCTGAAGGCGCCCCAGCTACAACAGAAACACTGCATGCTGCACGAACCATTCATGTTTTGATCACGAACAAACCCTTTGCCACATGAACGAATGAATCGAAAAACTCTTCCGCGTGGCCTCGACTCCCAGCTCCTTGCGTAAGGTTGCTTTCATTCATTTCGGGACACACCCTATTTGGACGCACCCCAGCCGGGATCACACGATGCATGTGCTGCTGTCTTACATTGAGACGACGGTCGGCGTGTTTGGTTACCAACCTGGGAGTCAAGACAAATTCAGGGTAAAAAAGTACCACATGTCATATGAACGAACGAGTGAATGAAGTTCCTGTTAGCGCGCAAGACAAAAGCATAAAACTGAGAGAAATAGCACCTTGTGAGGCAAAACACTCACTCCAGACGCGCTTCTGCGTTATCCTAATTTAGCCTTCAAATCCTGACTTGCGTGAGAAGATTATAGAGCCTGCACCAACTCGTCTGCTGTATTCAGCAATCGATATATTGGGATACCCCACCCGATCTCACATCTTAGTGATGGGAGGAAAGACGCGGAGCATCGCGGGCAAACAAATTAGTCACCTTCTATATGTTACTACCTTAGTACGTTACGACATCTCAGAGAGGCAGCAGCAGCAAGCAGTGAAAAAACACTGCATGCACACCAAGAACAACATGAAAAGGCCGGGCCAAATCCCCTTTCCACCATTACATTGACCAATGCACGAGCTGGGGTCTTACAGACAGAAGGAAGGCCCGACAAAAGCTCGCAATTATGGGTTCATGGACATTTGTGTTCTTGGACGGGCAAAAAAAACTCGTCTGAAAGAAGATGAAAAAGCCCGGGCAATATATCCTCACTTTCCTCCACCAATCTCCGTTCAACACCAAACAACTTCCCGTATCCAGATGCCGTATGAATACAACAGCAAGCAGGCGGTTGCACGGCGCGGTGCATATACACCAGAAGTAGCGCGCCGGGCCACGCCGTTGCTACATTGTTGTATGAAAAAATACATTTGTAGAAGTTGCACGGCAGCATCACAGCAGAGGTACCAGCGAGCGGTAGATCTAGGTTGAAAAAACGAACACGATGATGGTCAGAATAGTATTAAAAAATAAATACACGCACAGAAAGACTACTACCCATTCAAATAGTATTGTACAGCGCAGCAGCTGATCATGATGTAGTATGTGGTGTCACAATCCATACGCAAAAGAACAATCAATACAGCGCGCTGTGTACACGCAATAATTACGCACACATCCACTTGTCTCGTCAACCGTGGTACGATATAGACGTGGAGAGAGGTGGGTGTGCGTGCCAGAGAGAGGGGGGGGGGAGCATTCTTTTCGTGAACCGAAGACACTTGCTTGCAGGATACTCTGCATGATGATCGAGTGGATTTGATGACAAAAAAAAAAAAATCATAAAAAAATCCATGTTTTGGATCTTCGGCGACAGCAGTATGTAGGAGAGACGAGAGAGACACACCGCCGTATCACTACAAAGCGCAAAATACTCCCCAGAGTGCAAAGGTCGTCGCCTGCCACCTCGCAAAGGCGAGCGACCGGCGCTGCGCATCGGACGGCAAGGCCCCCAAGAGAGAGAAGCAAGCGAGAGAGAGAGAGAGCGAAAGACGAGAGAAAACGGGCAAGGTGCCGATATTCAGGAAGATTATCCCCCCCTCTCCACCAGCATCCAAAAGAACGTTCCGAGATCCGAGCCGCGCACAGATAACCCGCTGTCACGTTTTGATTGGCCGACGGGTTATACGACAACAATTTATTGCCGTCTTTCCGAGATAGACCGCCCCCACCCCGTCGAGTCACTCGCTCCCGTTCCAGACCAACGAGCCACCTACAAGTTACACTTGGCACGATAATCAGCCTGCGGAGGCGGTGATATATTTCGGCCTGCCCCTCACGACCGCGCCACACGGCAAGGCATCACACCCCCTTCCCCCCGCGACGCGAGAGCCACGTCATCCGGCGGCAGCAGCACCCGGGGAGAGCACACGAGCACACAAGTTTTTTTCTCTCTCTCTGCTCTTTGGGTCCTTCCGCACTTCTCAGACTTCGGACGTACACGCGAATTCGCATTCCAGTCGTCGGGAGGAGCGCCGGACAAACCGCAAGAGAGGGCGTTCGTTGGCAGCGCCACGTTGGGAGATACGCTGGCGGACTTCTGGGCCCTCGACGTGCACCAGCAGGCACAGCCCCAGCCCCAGCAGCAAGAGAGGCAGCTGCAGCAGCAGCAGCAGCAGCAGCAGCAGCAGCGGCAGCGGCAGCAGACGGAGAGCATAGGAGAGCGGATGGCACCCATATTTCACCAGCAGCAGATGGATCACCACGCCCACCACGCGGCCTGGGAAGACGGCAGACAAGCCCGCCCGAGCACCCACTACCCCCTCCAGCAGCACCAGCACCAGCATCAGCAGCAGCAATGGCCTGCTCAAGGCCGGCTGCACATCAACCCGGCGATGGTCCGCGACGACGGATTCGCCGCTGCGCCGCAGATGCAGCAGCACCACGGCAGCATGTCCGCCTCGCGCCACCACCAGCCCCAGCAGCAACCGCTCGGCTCGTCCTCGGCCGGGCGTGAGGTTCTCGGGGAGGGATCCTTCATGGGGCGAGGCTACAGCATCAAGCGGTGTCAAGGGTTCGTGAGGTGCGACATGGACATCGACGCTGAGGTGGTCGGATGGGTCATCGGAAAAAATGGTGAGTCAAGTTGTTGGGGATCGTGGGGGTGTTGTTGGTGACATACTTTGCTTTACCTATATTTGTAGTTGCCGAAAGAGTCATCCATGACGGGCAGGAAAGAAAAGTATAACTGCGTGACACGCGGGACATTTCGCGATGAAACACCCGAGGCAAGGTCTGAGAGAGCATCTAGCGCAGCGATCCACAAGCTAACTGCCCTGTGCCCTTGGCATCGCAACCCCCTTTGATGACGCCGTGATTTCGCCAGAGACCGCCCGGTTTCTGCCGGGGCCTTTTTTCAGACCGAAAAAAGAAATATAATTTTTCTCGGTCGTTCTAGAAAAAGTAGAAACTGCTGCTGCTCTCGTCTCATGTCGTGGTGGTGGCACAAACGACGTTCCGATATTGGTGGATCGACCTCCTTTCCTCGCGCTGCTGCTACCTCCACTGCCCGACACGAAAATGAAAAAGAGGGTTTGACCTCTCGCGCCTCTCCTTCCCGAGAAACGTGCAACAGTTTTCTTGGGACTTCAACGTTGGATAGACAAGACACATTGTACAAGCTTCCTATCATGTATCACAACTTGATTATTGTGGTATGTAGATGCAAGGCGCATCCCACAAAAAGGGCCAAGAAATGTGTTGTACTGCCACGATCGATCGCGATCGGAGAGATGATCCGCTTTTCCGACATGATCCTCGTGCAACTCCTACTGCTCTTTATTTCTAGTGAATCCTCATGTGGCCGCCGGTGCCGCATTGAAGAGAAAGGCCCCGGTTGAAGTCCACTAGATATTTTTCCGTGCTGACGGTTGTGTTACGGAGAACCGACCTCCAGCTGACGAAGTGTATTGTACAGGCTTGCTTATGTTGTGCCGCACCATCTCCTCACCATAAATATGCATACTCGTCTGGTACATACGTAGACCGAAACTGCACACACCACAACCAACACACGGAGATTGCTGTTGCGTGAGAGATTTGACACGTTGGTTGCTTGCTTCTAAAATAGAGGAAGGTTGATGGGAGTAGGTGTGTATAGAAGTACATGCCTTACAGCAGTACTAACCTGTCGTTGATGAGATATCTGTCTGTAGTTCGATCAATCCTCAACGCTCATACATACCGTGCCGGTGTGACTGCTGCTGGTCGTGTGCATCTCTCAGGAGAGCCGTTGGTGGCGTCGTTTTACCTGCTCGTTTTTTTCCTCTCAGTTTGTATTCGTTTTTCCAACGGTGAGCAGCGGAAAGAACGGGGCTGCTGTTGGCTATGACACACTCTGACGCTCCTATTATTTTTACGAGCGGGCTTCCGGGTGGTGGAAAATCAACGAAATAAAAAACGTCCCAATGATATCGCTTTCACGTACTAACAGCAGCAGGTGGTTCATTTATTTTTGGTGTTGGAAAATAATTATACAACGTCCCAAAGCTCAGACGTCCCTATTCACGTACTTCAGGGTGGTTCGGAGTATTATTTTTCTGTTTGCAGAGCTTACGTCCCAACGAGGCCCTGTGTACGTGCCGTGATTGCTTTGTGCGTCAACCAAGGCCTTGTGACAAGCGGCAAGAAACACGAAGTACATGTCTTGATGGTATTCTTGATCGTGAAAGTCGTTTGCTATGCTTGTTTTGATTGGTTGACTAGTGAAGGGTACTCAAAACCCACGTTCGCAGTGTCGTTTGGCGTTACGTCATTTGCCCCCGCTCTTTCCATCGTGTCGTGCGCACATGTAGAGCAATGATACGTTTTTCTGCAGAAGAAACCACGCATGCACGCGCGTCGCTAAAACACAAGTCGATTTTTTTCACATCTCGTCGTCAACCCGACGCACATGTGTAGAATATTCCTCATCATAATACATACTGCGGACGGACGAAGCATCGCACGGCAGCTCTCGGAATACACAGTGATCGCGCCCACTGACACGTATCCCTCCGCTTTCTCTCCCGCCCCTCCTCTTGTCTGCGCGGACTTTCAGGTAGCACAATCAAGGACATGAAGCACAAGACCGGGTGCAACATGTGGGTGGACCAGCGCGCGCTCAAGCTCACCATCACCGGCCCGGACCTGCCCTCGGTCGAGCACGCCGCCAAGTCGGTCGACGCCTACGTTGCGGCCGCGCCGATCAAGGCCGGCGCCGTGGAGGCGGCGGTGACCAAGACCATCGAGTGCCCGCCCCAGCTGCTCGACGACCTCGGGGACCGCACCACGATCGCCCGCATCGTCAAGGAGACCCACGCCCAGGTGGTGGTGAACAAGAAGATCGGCCGCATCATCGTGCGCGGGGACCACCGCTCCGTCGACCTCGCCTACGAGAGCGTCCGGGCCATGATCCACAACGCCGTCCACGGAAGCTACGGCCTCGGCCTCCGGGTCAGCACCCCCGACAGCCACGGCTCCTTCGGCGTTGGCGGCGGGGCCGGCGGTGGCGGCGGCGGCGGGGCGGGGTACTTCCCGGATGGCGCCATGAGCAGCAGCGGCCGCGGCGGAGGCGGCGGTGACATGCGGTCTCCTCTCGTCAGCGGCGCGGTGGCCGGGGCGGCGGCGGGAATGCACCACCTGATGCTCCCCTCCACGGCCGGCGGCGCCGGCGGCAGCTCCCACGCCGACCCGGACTTGCACCACCTCGCCGCCCCCGACTATCGCCACGCGCGCGACACCGCCGAGTTCCACCACCTGGCCACGTGGCAACAGGAGCAGCAGCAGCTGGAGCTCAAGTCGGAGCACTCGCACCAGCCGCTGCAGCGCCACCACCACCACCACCACCACCACCACGGGCGCGGGGTGGGCTCCGACACGGACGACTCCGAGATCGAGACGGTGTCCCTCGGGTCCATCGGCGCGCGCACCCCCGTGAGCTCCACCGCGGGCTCCCCGCGCGTGGTGGGGTCGTACAACACCAGCCCCGCCCTGTCCGGCACGGCGTCCACGCCCGTCGGCGACTGGTCCCTCTTCTCCGGCGGCTTCGGCATCGGCATGGCTGCCCTCCAGGAGGGGGAGTCGTCTACCTCGCGCTCCAGCACCCCGACCACCGCCCGCACCACCCCGCGCGTCCACTTCCCCGAGGGCCTCCGCGCCCTCGTCGGCGGCGCCGGGCGCGCCTCCGCCGCCTCCGCGGGCGACCTTGCGGTCCTCAAGGGCTCGGGGCTGCTGTCTCCCGCTAGCGCCGCCGACGGCAACAGCGGTGGCGGCGGCAGCAACGGCGGCGGCGGCGGCAAGCCAGCGGGATCGCTCGCGCCCCCGCCGTCGCCGGCGTTGACGGCCGGCGGCGAGGCCTCCCGCAGGATGGCCGGGCTGCCGGTGCCGGAGGCCCAGGTGCTGAGCGCGCTGGAGGGGCAGACGTCCGACGGCGAGGAGGAGGAGGAGGAGGAGCAGGAGGGATCGGCGGGGGCGGGGGCGGCGGCGGCGGCGGGCGGAGGCGGGGAGGACATCTCGGACAAGGTCGCGCGCCTGGGGAAGGTTCTCCAGACGATGGGGCTCGGGAAGTACTGTCCCAAGTTCGCCGAGAACGAGGTGGACCTCGAGGCCCTGGGCCTGATGAGCGAGAGCGACCTGGCTGACATCGGGATCCCCAAGGGCCCGAGGCTGAAGATCCTGAACGCCGTGGGCGCCCGTGCGGCGGCGGCGACGAACCACGCCCCGGCCGTTTGAAGTCGTCATGATCCTGAGACGGCTGAAGCCGAAAGGAGAACAACTTTGCAACATGGAAATGAAAAGGAGGAGGAGGAGGAGGAATGGGTAAGAGAAAGTGCTTGTGCTACCCCCCTAAAAAGAGAAGAGTGGTAAGAGATATAAAAACAAGCGCGGGGTGGCTGTTTTTCGGAGTCGTCGTCGTCGTCGTGGTGGTGGTCTTATTTTGTTTTTAACGGGAAATTATAGAAGTGTGGTCATGTTTGTCCCCCCCCCCCCCCCTTTCTTTCCCCCCGTCCCCTGGGGGCGGGCGCGAGTGCGATAGTATTGTACGGTTCGTAGGAGCTATTCGCAACGCCTGCCTCCCCACATGGGAAGCATGACGGCGATCTATAGTGGTAGCGAAAATACACTGGAAAATCGATCAGAGGAGTGTTGGGTTTTTTATGGTTTTGGAGAAAGGAGAAGAATACGCGCGGGAACCCTTTGACGTTCCCGATCGGCGAAGAGCCCGAGCGCCTGTAGTAGTGTTTGAATGCCATCCCACAGAATGTTTACGTTGTTTTTTGAGAATGGAGGGTCAAGTTCGTTTTCGGTCGTGCGTGTTGGATGGAGGGCTTAGTATATTTTCTCGTTTTGGTTCGCCTCCTCACTCCCTTGGCCTCGGGTACCATTTTGTTATCATGGGTGTCTTTTTTGTTTTCGTTTTTTTCCTTGGGCGGGGTGGTGGGGGGGGGTTGTTGAAGTCATTTTGTGTAGATTGATGGAATTGAAAATGACCAAAAAGAGCGATTGGGTCTCATGTGTTTCTTCTCTCGTTCCTCTGCTACCTATTGTGTTGGTGTAGAAAACTGATCCATCGTCTGGATGCGTGCGTGCTGTCTCGAGTTTGACCCCTTTTAAGCTGCCCCGCGATTGTAGTCGCAAAGCTTCGCGGGCGGCGTCTGTTGGCCTAAGAGTGGCGCTGCGCGGCATATGGAGGGCAGATATTTCACGCACGCATCTATCCGCAGTTGTTAAAGCAACCGCCTTGTTTGTGTGACGAGATATATCGTTTTGTGCGTTTTTTTTTTCATTTATGGCGGTCTTGTGTTTTTTCCCTGTGATATTCGGGTGTCTGTTTTTTCCGGTTTTGTCGAGAGAGGGCATGGCGGAGGTCCGTACCATGCGAGTACGAGGTGCAGTTTCAGTCAAGCGTTCGGGTTGGGTCCGAGGGATTGGATAGGATAACATATCGTTACCTGTGCCGCATTCTGCCCCCCTGCAATCCCCCCCCCCCCCCCCCCTTCCCTTGGCCTGGGACACTGGGCACGCGGGGGAGGGAGGGAGTAATTCAAGAGAGTGGGGTGTAGCCGTTGGGTGTTTTGTCGCGTGCACAACTGGGGGGCCAAGCAGAGAATCAAAAAAAGGTACGGTCGAGAGACGTACGCTAGTCGTTTTGTATTTTTTTTATGACTTTGCTGCACGGAGATATTTTACTCGAAACTACTTGTATCGTTCTGGGTGTGAATTTTAGGTTAAACGCAAATTAATCATACATATTCACGTGGGTTGTTTGGCCATAATATCTAGTCGCCTCTTTTGTGTGTGGTTAGATGATGGTCTTTTTTCAGTCAGCGAGCTTGCCAGCGAGCGGCCTATATCGGAGCCTCGGATAACAGAATGGCCCTGACCGTCAAGCGGTTATTGTTGATTGTACCACGGTTTTGGGGACACGCAGGAACAACACTTGCTGCATGGCCCTCCCCTTTTTTGGTGTATGCGGTGCTGCCGCTTTCTGTGGCGGATGGCGGGCGGGAGGGCGGGCGATTTACATTACATGTGTGTATGTTCTTTTTTTTTTAGGGTTTTCTGATCTGTTGTCTTGCGCGAAGGAATCAACCTTTTATTTCCAGCGGGACGCACCCGTAGTGTCTGACGCGTGAGGCAAGACACGCTTCATGTTCGGATGTTGGTCTTGTATGTTCTGCGTGTTACTTTATTCCGTCTGTCCTGCTAGCAAGAGCAACGTTATGTAGGCACGGGCCCTCCGTTGGCCAGAGGTGGAGACTTGATGGGGCGGGGGAGTTGGGGGGGGGGGGGGGGGGGGGGGGG